GCTTGGGAATTGCAAACTCTTCATCGCTTTCATCGTTCGCGTATTCTTGCTGAATGGCCTTCACAGAACCTAGTGGAGACTTTGGTTTATCGTCTAGTTTAGTGGAGGCCTTTTCATCTTTTAAGTCAATGAGCTTTGGTTTTTCCTCTTCTTTCAGAGGAGATTTATCACCAACGCCGATAAAGGGTGCTACGGATGGAGTTGGCTGACCAACAGTCTTGTCTTGAGGCTTGGGAATTGCAAACTCTTCATCGCTTTCATCGTCCGCGTATTCTTGCTGAATGGCCTTCACAGAACCTAGTGGAGACTTTGGTTTATCGTCTAGTTTAGTGGAGGCCTTTTCATCTTTTAAGTCAATGAGCTTTGGTTTTTCCTCTTCTTTCAGAGGTGATTTATCACCAACGCCGATAAAGGGTGCTACGGATGGAGTTGGCTGACCAACAGTCTTGTCTTGAGGCTTGGGAATTGCAAACTCTTCATCGCTTTCATCGTCCGAGTATTCTTGCTGTATGGCCTTCACTGAAGCAAGTGGAGACTTTGGTTTGTCGTCCAGTTTAGTAGGAGCTTTGTCATCTTTAAGTTCAATCGGCTTTGGCTTAATATCTTCTTTAAGAGGAGATTTATCCTTGTCACCTTCGAAACCAGAGAACGGATCTGATGGCTGAATTATACTAACTGCTTTCACAACTGTGCTTTCGGAGTGAATGCTAGATTGCACTGTTGTTGTCCTTTCTTCTACCTTTGACACTGAAACAGTAGGCTTTAGTTCGTCTTTCAGAAGAGTTGGCTGACCAAGAGTCTTGTCTTGAGGCTTGGGAATAACAAACTCTTCATCGCTTTCATCGTCCGAGTATTCTTGCTGAATGGCCTTCACAGAACCTAGTGAAGACTTTGGTTTGTCGTCTAGTTTAGTGGGGGCCTTGTCATCTTTTACGTCAATGAGCTTTGGTTTTTCCTCTTCTTTCAGAGGAGATTTATCACCAACGCCGATAAAGGGTGCTACGGATGGAGTTGGCTGACCAACAGTCTTGTCTTGAGGCTTGGGAATTGCAAACTCTTCATCGCTTTCATCGTCCGAGTATTCTTGCTGAATAGGCTTTACTAAACCAAAAGGTGACTTTGGTTTGTCGTCCAGTTTAGAAGGGACTTTGTCATATTTTACTTCAATCTTATCTTCTTTAAGATGAGATTTATCATTGTCACTTTCTAAACCAGAGAACGGTTCTGATGCTTTAATTATATTAGCTGCTTTGACAACTTTGCTTTCGGAATGAGTACTATATTGAACCGTTGTTGAGCTTTCTTTTATATTTGAAATTGAAATAGTAGACTTTGGTTCTTCTTTCAGAAGAGATTTATCACCAACGCAGATCAAGGGAGATACTAATGAATTTGTATGAATAACAGTCTTATCCTTAGGTTGGGAACATGGAAACTCTTCGTCGCCTTCATTGTCTGAGAAATCTTTTGGAATAGACTTTACTGAAACACTGGGTGATTTTGGTTTGTCGTCTAGTTTAGTTGCAATTTTCTGATCTATAAACCTCTTTTCATTTTGTTCTTTCTCTAGTTCACCCAGTTGGCTGTACGTGTCAACTTTACCTGTTGGAAACTTCGAAATTATACTTTCTTCAGTAGAGTCAGTATCCTTTACTGTCTTTGTAATGGATATATGCTCAATTTTAAGATGTTTTAATTTTTCAATTTTTGCAATGTTATCCAACTCTTCATCACTACCGCTTTCGATTCGTTTTAAAACTAATTTAGGTTTTTCATCAGATGGAAACTTAATTTTTGCATCATCAGTCATTGAAACAAGTTCAGACGTTTTTGAGATCGAGTGCTCGAGACTTTCTTGGGTTGGAAATTTGCTATCTATATTCCTTTCTTCGATTTTGTGTTCGTTCTGTGCCAAGGACTGGTCAACTAGTTTATCCAGCTTGACTTCAAACTCACTGGCTTCGTGAACAAACTCCTTTGTGTGTTCAATGTCTGTTTTGGAAATGGAATGTAATCGTTCCAAGGTGTGTGCAATTTTAGGAAATTCTACAAGTTTAGTGTCCTTAGTCGATTCTATTGGAAATTCTTGCTTATCACATTCTGTTAATAATCTAATTTGACTCTCTGCAATCCCTGTCAATCCTTTGCTAACAAAACTCTTAGTCCCAATATCATGAATACTTTCAGCTACGTGGAATTTAGTAGACTCGTGCTCTAGGAACATGGCCGTGGTCGATTTAACATCGTCAATTTCTAGTACACTTGCCGCCTTTGCTTGCGTTTCGTTGGCCTTTGCCATATCTGAGACAATGCGCTTAGAGCATTTTTTTTCACAGACATCTTCGAGATTTTCAATACTGACGCTCGTCTTGGCGATGGCCGAAACGGGAGAGTGCACTTTCTGTTCTGGAACCCGCTTTGAGCCTAACCCATCTAAAATCAAATCGGCATCGCTTAAAATTTGCTGCTCTATAGTCGAAACATCCACCTTACGCTCCTGAGCTGACTTCTTTCGTGGACTAAACGGCTTGGCCTCTAGGCTCGATGCTGGATATCTACGTTGGATATCCTGCACTACCTCCCTCACCCTTGGTAATGAATCAATGGCTTCCTTATCTCCTAAGTCTATACGCTCTTCAATAGTTTCAGCTAAAATCTTGCCAGGTACCACTTCTCCTTGCCCACCTAATCCTATTACCTGTTCTTCTAAAGTCTTTTCTGTTTCACTTAAGTCTTCAGCCACCTCAAAGGCCTTACGCTTCTCACAAACTTTCTCGCAAACTTCCTCCTCAATCTCTCTCAGGCCAAGGCCCACATTTTCCATGGCCTCGATGAGCGAAATCTTGACTACCTCAGCCGGCAATTCGCACTTGATTAACTTTTCCAGAGCCAAGTCCGCTGGCGTTAGTATTTGCTTCTCCAGTTCCACCACATTGGGTTCCTTGTAATCTTCGTGGGGCTGCCGTTTGTGCACGGCGAAGGGAATGGCCGACACCGTGGTACCGCAAATCTTATCCTCAATGCTCTGCACGACCTCTCGCACCACCGGCACATTGTCGCCTATATACTTGGGTATCACAGCCGGTTGCTTGGCACTCGAATCCAATGATTCTGTGCTGCCGCTGCTCTCCAAACGCATTACCTTGCGCCTAACGTCGCCACAGCCCATAATCTGCTCTAAGTACTCCCTATCACTGGCAGTCTTCTCGGATTCTGCATCTATATCTACTGCTGACCGATCCTTCGGCGACTTCTCTGACTTCTCCTGCGGAAGCTCTGGCTTATCTGGCTTCGGGATGGTCAAGTCAACTATGGTTCGATCTATTTGCGTTGTCAAGGTCGTTGTGGTCGTCATCTTCGGTGTTTGACTACTTGTACTCATTTCTGTAAATGAGGTAGTGTCTGGTGAGTACATTTTCGGAATATCGGGGGGAGCTACCACACTATGAAGCAGCTTATCAGTTTCATCTGTTCTTGTAAAGGTTTCGGGTTTTACATTATGAACACTGAAGTGCTCTGTTTGAGGCATTCCGCGACGTCAAAATTGGTTTGGGTTTTGTTTAGAAGTAGAAGTAGAGTGGAGTAGAAAACATGGCAATATAAAGACAGTTAACACCGATTACAAGTCAACCATGGGGTTTAATGGTGGGTTAGTCTATGTACAGGGTGCAATTGAGTTGCCAACATACAGGGATATGTATGTCGTACGTATATATTCTTACTACAAGCTGTACGCCAAAAACCCAGCAGCAGGCACACAATCATGCAATTACGCTTATGGAAGTTAGTCGAGAAGCGAAATCAAAATATATCTGTTCCGCACTTAACGATGCCAGATGAAGCTTAGCTTGGCTTAGCCTAGCGGAGCTGAGCTGCATTCAGCCGGATACATACAGATGCTGCATATGAGGTCGTGGATTATTGGGCCCATTTCTGCTTAATTGCTGCACAAAATTCAATGCTTCGAGTACGATTCTTGAGCTGAGCTGATTACGTTTGCATATTTTTGAATTGCACATATTTAAGCAATGTTTATGTTGATTCAAAATCAAAAGAGGCAAAATTGACTATAGGTACTGCAAGTATAAGAACAACCACGACATCATATGTCACATACTCGTACGCTACACAATGCGATCTATAAACAACCAATTACATAAAGAAGCTCGCTGGGTTGGTGGGTCTGGGTGCAAACAAACATAGGCTGGTTATATGGTGGGCTAATATAAGTAGGTGGCTGTGGCTGTTGGCTTTAAAAATCGCAAATAATGACAAAGAGTACGAGTATAGGAGTACGATATGCTATTTACTATATAGAGATGCTACTGTGATAACTGGATGTGGCTCGACTTAACATTCAGTTACAGTACACTAATACCGTTAGATATATATGATAGTTATATAGGCTTTTTCGTTAGGATTGCTAAATTACGAAAAGCAACAGAACACATAAGTATTTGCTGAAAACAAATCAAACATAAACATTGCAAACTGAAGGCCATGGTGGTTTATTGGAGTGTTCTTCGATGAATCCTCATGTGGAGATCGGAAAGCTACCGCTAGCTGATCCCCATATGGGTACAGTTTCAATTTGTTTCAATTTCGGAAATCCAAAAGTATGCCAAAAGTGTTTATCTTAATGAAAAAAATCTTGTAGTAATTGGTAAACGTATATCAATATATATAGGTAGTATTATGGCATGACTTATCCATAGATCCATCTATAGACCAATAGTTATTTACGAATATATTAAACAAGGCTATTACATATGTTAACTGTAACTTGCAGCAGTAGTAGTAGTAGATTAAGAAACATAAACTCAATTGCTTAAATAGTTGGTCAAAAATTGCAAACGTAATTGTTACACCATGAGAGTTGAGTGGACAACAATGAGGGAGCCCTATCAGAAAACGATACCCATCATATGTAGATGCATAAACATAAGTCTTACAGCTGTGGCAACTTTTCAAATTGATTGTAATTGTACATGGGAACTTACCATTAAGATAAAATAGGCTTAAAGTTACTTTAGTGTTTGGTTAATTTTATTTGATTAGTTTATTCCGTAGCGCACTGAATGAACCATAAACACAAATCGTAAACTTCACTTTCTGGAATAATTCCTATTCCTCTAAACCTTAAAGCACCGAAATTCTAAGAGACGCGCTCTTGTGTGACTTTTATATGGCGCGTTCTTGGTAAATACAAATTCGAAACTAAATCTGCTCGGAAAGCGCGCCTATCGCCGTACTGCAAGAATGCCAGAAGCAAATTAAATTAAGTATACGCCACCGCTCGGCTTTCAGTCGGTGGCTGGCTGGCCCCTGGCCCTATGACATAAGTGCGCGACGGTAGCATTGCTCACCGTGGCAGTGGCAAAGGCAGATTGCACAGCCGCCAATTATATAAGAAACCCCTGGAAAATGCTATTAACTGTGGATGCCTTTCGTCTGCTAATGGGCTAATAGGCTTTCGCCAGTCAACGGGAATGTCTCCACCGATCGGAGAGCCTGTCGAGAGTAAGGTAAAGTTACCGGCGCACAATCGATTCGCGGTTCAATATATCGATTGACTGGCCCACTGACATTGACACCGCTGAATGTTACGTATACGCAGAGGTACCTATGGCGCCAAACTAGACAATTAGCGCTGTTTCTACGACCTTTCGTCAGTGTTAACGTAATTGGATTAGCTGGCAACTTAGCCATGCATACTTGGCAACTTAGCACTGGCTTTCTGACAAGTAAGTTTCTACGAGAATTTTGTGGCCACGTTCATTCAATGCGCTACGGTCTGGCGTTTGTTATCTGGGGATTGGAAAATCCTTGTTAGCTTAGATTTATGGCACTTACAGAATTTTTTTTATTAAGATACACACAGTAGCAGTTAGCAGTTTGCCGTTCTATTTTATAAATTAACTAACAGTTCTTGGATCGCAATCGTTTAATGGTTGAATGGTATTTTGCATACAAAAAGCCTTTGGACTTAAATCAGGACGAAATGTAGAGGTACAGAGAGAGGTGGGAGTAACGAAATGGGATTCAACGAAAAAACAGTTTAACAAACACTACAGATTGTGGCGAAAATATAAATAAAAAGAACGGGTGTAAATGAAATCATAATTACAGATTTATTTATTTTATTTTTTTTTTTTTGTATCGAAAAAGGCAAACATAGAAACTTAAATTTAAAATCATTTTACATAACATTTACAAATTGCATAGAAATTGAGCATAGAGGCAGCCACTCATTTCAAGACTTGCACTTACCAATTTTCGTAATGGCAGAGACGCGCTCGAATGTCGACTCTGTGGTCGAGTGCAGCGTGGTCACAGTGTCGGCCAAATAATCTTGGATTTAATTTATTAAATAACTAAGACTGGATTAAGCTCAACTCCAGGAACTTACCACGCTCTAAGCTAATCAGTTCGGGCTGCTCGCTCTGCTTCTCGGCTTTGGTGTCACTAGGAGTTGGCGGAGGAGTCATGGAGTGTGGAATGTCGCTCGCTGAAAGATGTCATAAGCATAAGAAAAGAGACTATGAAAGTAAGAAGTAAGTTTACCCATTTTCTTGAGCTCATCAGTTATCTCAATCACGCCCTCGCTCATTTTCTTGGTGATCGTTTCGCCCACCGACTTGCAGAACTCCGCGTCGGTCAGAGACTTGCGTGGCTCCATGGACACGGGTGCTGTGAGTGCCTCTTGTTTGATTGTCTCGCTCAGTGGCATAGTGGCATGTTTGCCAAAGGTGTCGCTGTCGTATTCAGTCGCCAGCTGTTGAGTCACCACACTGGTGGTCAGCTTGGGAGTCTGGAATGGTGAAATATCACCAACTGGGGCCGCCGACTCAATGCCATCGATTAGCTTATCTGATGGCTTGGCATCACCGCTGATTGGTTTGGATGGCAGTTGGGTCTGCTGCTCCATGCTCAAGAAGTCTTCTGTGAGCTGACGCTCGTTCAAAGCTTTTGGCTTCTTGGATTGATCTACCTGCTGCTCTGCGATCTTGGTTACCTCCTCTACGACTGCCTTGGCGGGTTCAGACACCAATTGGGTTTGCTGCTCCATGCTCAAGAAATCAGCAGTAAGCTGGCGCTCATTCAGTGGTTTCTTTTCGCTGGGCTTCACAGGCTCAGGTTCGGTCAGTGGCTTTGGAGCTTCCTCGACCAGGGTCTTCCTGGGTTCTACCACAGGTATCTTACTTGCCGGCTGCAAGGGTTTCACAGAGACCACCGAATCCGGTTCTGAGGCTGAAGTGGATGTTAAACTCGACTCAAGAGGCAAGCTCGGCAGTTGGGATTGCTGTTCCATGCTCAGAAAATCGTGGGTGAGCTTGCGAGCTTCAGAGGTGGTGATCTGCTCCTCGATCTTGTGGAATGTTTCGACGACATTGGCCACCTTTTCTGCCACCTTGTCCTCTTTAAGTTGAGTCTGTAACAGAGGCTTGTCCTCGGCCTTTACCAAGTTCTCCACTTTGCTGGCAATTTCCGAGGGCTTCTCAGACTTTGTCACCTTCTCTTCGATCTTGTGGAATGTGTCAACCAGTTCGGAAACCTTTTCGGCCACAGTATCAGCCTTGGCAGCGATTTCTGGCTGCTTGACGGACTTATCCTTGAGCTGCTCGGCACCCAGGCCTGCTGTCATAATGGTCGCCGTGGAGGCCACCACATCATCTAAAATCTTGAACTCTTTCTCGACCAGTTTCTCTACTGATTTCCTTGGCTCCACCTTCGGAATCTTGCTGGCTGCTGGGGCTGGCTTGGACTCAGCGGCTAGCTTCTCGCCCTGCAGAAAGTCGTGGGTCATCTTTCGAGCATCGACTTCTGAGGCAGATGTCTTGACTGGAATCTTTGAGATCGGCTTCTCGGATTTGGTATCCACTGCGGACTCCATCTCAGGCTCAGCCGCAGCACGTGGAGCTGCTGTGGGCTTCATGGACTCTTCGCTGGGTTTTCGCGTGAACTTGGGGATCTGGGTCTTGGGCTCGCCGCCATGGAAGTCATACTTGACCTTCTTGGCCTCGAAGTCGGCAATGGTCTCCTCAATACTAGAGCTCTCAATTACCTGGACCGATTTCTTTTGCTCTTGGGCCACCGTCTTGACATCCTCCAGGTGTTTGATGGTCTCGCTGACCTTCGTTGATTCGGTGGAAGTCGCCTGGGTAGGCAGGACTACCGTCGCCTCCTGCGGCTTGGTGGTCTCGAAGGAGCTAATTATGTTCTCCACCTTCTTGCTGGCTATTTCGGTGACCTCGTGAATGACTTGCTGCACCTCCTTGACGGTTTCCTGCGGCACTGAGGCCAGAGGACTGGTCTTTTCCTTGACTTCCTCGACGAACTTCTCGTGAACGGTTGCGGTGGTGGAAGTGGCTGGGAGTTGGCTGCGCTTTTCCATCTCCAGGAAATCCTCGGTGATGTCACGGGCCTCCTGGCGGGTGATTGTGGTCACCCGACTGAAGGTTACGCCATCCTTCTCCTTTTTCTCAGCAGAGCTGATATCTTGGACAATCTTGTCGGTCTGGTCTGGGGACGAAGGCTGGTCTTCCTCCTCTGAACTGCGTCCGGATGTCTTGAACTTGTGCGTCAGTTCCTTGTCAAACTCGCTCTTGCTCACCTCGGTCGAATCCATCTTGCCCATCTTCATCTTAATGACCTGATCGGGCACCGTAGTTGTCTTAATGATCACATTGTCTGCGGGCAGCTGCATCAAGATCTCGGATTCGTGGTGGGCCTTCTTGTCTTCGATTAGGCTCTTCCGCTTAATCTCGGTTATTTCGCGGGTTATCTCCTTCTTTTGCGTCGAGGCAGGAATGGATCGCTCCATGGACAGACGCTTTACAATCTTCTCGCGCCGCTCGGCCACCGTGCGTTTGGCGGCTTCCTCATCGGACTCGGACTCTTCAACTTCCTTCTCCTCGGCTGAGTATTTGACCTCTTCCCGTTCATTGATTTGCTGGATCCGCTTGCCTGCAGGAAGAGCTTAAGGGGTTATTCAACATGGAAGTGAATAGCTTTTCAGGCATTTAATATTTTTAACTTAACAAATTAAAATGTTTATAAATATATATGAATTCTACGAATTGAAATTTTGTAGCACTTACTTTCTCTGCGAACCAGCTCCTCCACGGATTCCGAGTTCTTCATGATGTCTGTGTCATCGAACTCGCGGGAATGCGAAAGTCGCCCACTCTTGCACTTCTTCATAATATCATCTCGTCCAATGTTCTTGAGCGCCGCTTCTAGCAAGAGAATGTCATAGTTGGGCTTGTCCTTGTAAAGTCGAATCATGCTCTGGGCCTGTCTGGCAATACTGTCGGTGTTTTGGTTGATGATCTCGTCGATCTCCTCCCCATTTATGCCAATCTCCGGGGCCAGTTGGATCCAGTCCTTGCCCAAGAGGTTCGACAGATCCACGATGCGAATGTCGCCGATGTAATGGTCATTTTGATGTTTGCTCAAACTAAACATTGAGGTCCTGTAGGCGGAGGTAACACGGTCCGAGAAGGCCGTGGTGGAATCCGGAATCACTGCCTCCGGAAGTACGATGTTCAGGATGCAGATGGGCTGTTGCGGTGGCTCACCCTTGGCCACCTTCGGTTCCTTCATGAACAGCGTGCGGCCAACGATGTCGGCATGCTGATCCTTGACGCGAACGGTGAAGGGTAGACGGTTCTCGCGGAAGGCCTTGAACTGCAGCTGCAACTGGTCACCCGACTTGGTCACGGGCACAAGATTGCCAGCCATCTCGATGTACTGTGGCTTGCCCTCGAGAACCTCCACATCGCGGCTCTTGGCGACTTCCGTGTACAGCTCGTGCTTCTCGAGCGTCTTATCCTCGCGATCGTCGGTCATGCAGAATACCCGGAGTCGCGCCTCGAAGGGTTCGATCTTCTTGGCGAACACCACAAACTTGGCAATGAAGGGTACGTGGATTACCTCCCTGTGAGCAGAGAATAATTAATGAATACTAAAACCCCTAGTTAGCCCCCTAAAACACTCACTTGTACAGCTCGGTGGCCATTTTTGTGGCATCCGAGATATTGCGACAGTCCATCAGCCAGAATCGAGCCGAGACGGTTGTGGTGAAGGAGACGCAATCGTTGACGAAGGTCAGGGGTGTGGATCCGGTGACATCTTCCCACTGAGCACGGGAAGGTCCGCCTGGCGATGGAGGAGTTAGATGGAAGACGAAATACGGAGATGTTCAATTGCGGGGCTCAGATTTTGGGACTGGGGGGGGTTTACGCATAGACTACATATATGTATGTAAAAACTCTTGAAAACTCTACTGTTGTCTCATTAGCAGATAATTATTGAATTGAATTCCAAAATGGCTGAACTAATTTCACAAACGAAACCATAAATCTCAACTCAAAAACTTGTTCAGAGAGAATACGATTGTGTGTTTAATTACAAAGCAATTAGATGGATTAGGAATAGTATTGAAAAGTATTATTGTATATAGTTTATGGTAAGTAAAATCTTATTTAGCGATAAGTATTAGGAATATCGAGTATCTTGTTATCTGTGTGGCATGGCATGGATGTGATGAATGTTGAGTGTGGAGTGTTGTGGTGTGTTGTGATCATATGGAGTGTGTGTTGATGAGGCACTTTGATTTCAAGCATATATTTGATTAATTTGGTTGGGCTATAGCATTTACAGAGGTACGAGTACTAGGGTACTTGTTGCGCTGCTTACTTTGAAGCCGTTTCGAAACAACATGCTTAATATTTTGGAAAAACAAATTTTTGGTTTCTCTTGAATGAAAAATAAGTGAGCGTGTCACGTGTTTCTTGTTGTAGTAAATGTGTTCAAAAAACAACGAAAAATCTCAAAGAAAACGATAACAAGAAATCAAAGACAAAATAATTGAAAACCTCAACTGAATTCTGGAATGTAAGTATAAAGTAGTCGTCATATTTATCTTAGATTTTTATATATTTGTATTTAACAATAACAAAACATTGCTTGTAGTCAGATATTATTGAGCTTGTCACAGCACTCGCTTGACTTTGGTTTCTTCCTCAATAGTTGACATTTATTTGGTTTCAGAAAAGTTCTCTTTGGTGCCACAAACAGTAGAAATTCGAAATTGATCATTTACGTTCTTTATTTTTTTATTTTTGTAATAATATTCTGCTTGATGATTTATAATAATAATAAAAGTACAACAAAACCGAACAAATAAACGAACCACAATCAGGTGCACGGCATTCCAACCGAAAAAGAATAATTAATAAAAGTAAATTCAACTTGAAGCTAGATAGCCTTAACAAGGATGACACAATGGAATAATACTCGAATTGGTAACTGAACAACGGAACAAATCAAAGTAATTCGGCACTATCAGGTGGCCTGGCTTCAAATACGGTTTCGATGGCCCAAAGAGCAACTTTATTTAGCGTTTATAAGTTTAGCTTATAAGACCTACAAACTCTTTAATGAAATTGTGCAGTTTAGGTATATATTTGGCAGTAAACCGCGTGCAGTCAGAAATTCGCTTAGGTAATCATATTATTGTTAGATGTTAGAGGGAGAGAGGTTAGACAGAGAGAAAGAGAAGGCGGCAAAGACGTTTGCATGACAAGCTTAAGGTTCGAAAAAGTAAATTGGAAAGTTGGCTTACTTCAAAACGAAGCTGTTTTGGAGCTGGAAGCGATATCTTGGCATGGAGAACATGGCCAATGGAGTGGGGTCTGGAGTGGGCCCCGAACAGAAAGTTAATCCTGAGCTTCTGGCACAGTAAACCCAAAGACGCAGCGCAACCCGAATTTAAGCAAAAAAACTCAATGGAACTCAGGAAATCAATGGGGCAACTCAAAAGCAAGAAACTCAACGAAATCAAATCAAATAAAAAGGACTAAAGGCGTAGAAGTTGAAAAATAATTGTTTGAAATATTTGCAATAGTTTCTTAACAAGAGAATTTATCATAAATAAAGTATGCAGAATTTTCATTTTTTTTTTTTTTTTGTCAAATTTCTTCTTGGATTTTGTTGTTTGCCTCATTTTGCAACACAATAATATTCGTATTTGATTAATATTATTATCTTTTTTCTTTTTTTTAGGTTTGGCATAGAACGAAAGAACTAAATATGAACAAATAACGATTTTATTTGGTAAACAGTTTCAATTTGAAACTTCATACATGTTTGTGAATTTCTGAATTTTTGTATTATTTATTTTAGTATTTGTGACGTTTGAGTCAGTTTTAGTTACCTTTTAGAGACCTTTTCCGAAACACACCTTCAATGGATTGAGAAAACAGAACGGAATGCGTGCACACATATGCAATGACGCATTAGTACGAAATTATAGAACAATTAAATAGGTTTTCAATCAAGAATTGAATTGAAGTTTGTTTTGTTTGGGTTTGTTTTTGCTCAACACGAAATCGAAATAGAAATCGAAATCATCGAAAATCATCAGAACGAACTAAAGCGATAACGAACGCAAATCGAACAAAGGTTAACGGAACGATCACCTTTTGGCACAATGAGAGAGACACACTGTACATGACATTGATCTGGATAATGATCGGGCTGAGTACGTGGCAGGTGGGGTGTCTGTATCTGTATCTGTTTCTGTATCTGTATCTTAAACTGTGACCGTGTTCAACGTGTAGTGGTAGTGGGGTGTAGCTGATGGATGGGCGTAACCGTGTCTGAATGCAGAGGTGAATGACGAATGCTCTACAACTGGCTAGAGTTCCAAGGGGGGATACGATATAGGATACGATACGATACCGTCCGTACGAACATCTACTACACAGACACAAGCACAATGTTTCACTTTGGATCGAATGGGACCTACATGAGAACGAATGCCTCTTGAATCAATTAGAATTTCAGGTTGGGAATAACTCCCGGAGGTATCAATTCTTTGGGTTCTTTTCAACTAGGCACTTTCCACTGTACAGGATTGGATATAGTATATATGGCATGTATGGTATATATATAGTACTACTTATCAGCACATGAGAGATACTTGTATTCTAAATGTTATAGACAACCAAAACGAACAACGGAAGCGGGTACGAACTCAACTGAACGAAAGCATATAGTATACACTCAAGAAATCATAAACAGGAATGAAGGAACTGAAGGCCTGAGACAGAGGTATATATAGAGAGTTAGAAAGAGAGGGGGGGAGGTGGAAGATCGGGAATCTGTATACTCAAAAACATCAACTAACGTAATGGAAATGTAAGTGAATATACTCGTAATGGTCATAATGTTAATTGGTAATTGGTAATTGGTAATAATAACTGCTTGGATCACATTGTACAAACAACACAAAAGGCCGGCTGGCGGATCGGTAGCGGAGCGGCTTCAACTTACCTGTGATCGAGCAGAGCAGGCGCAGGGTGGGCGTGTTGCCCGAGTACTGATTGATCATCCCCTGGCTGTGCGCCTTGGGGGCCGGCATGCTGAGGGTGATGGCCTTGTGGAACTTGCGGCGCCGCGGCTCGACCGTAACGATCGGAGATACGGCCACGCCGCGGCCCAGCAGCTTGGCGGTGAGATCGGGATCGACCGGCTGGGCCTAGAACGAGTGTAACGGATTTCGATTGGCACAATAGACAAAAATCGATTTCCCGGCCACGCTTACATAGTACAGTCATGAGATGAACTAAACGAAAAACTCAACCGAAATCCATAAACAAAAGAATATACGAAATATGCGCCTCTTGTCTGCCATAAAGGAAATTAAAAAGTAAAACAAATAATATGAAATGAGTTTTTTTGGGCTAAATGGTGAACATTTTCGATTCGATAACATTCTGTTTCTGTAAATTTGCTTTCTTTTTTTTGGTTTTTGTACAATGCTTATTTAGTTTGATGTTTATGTATATCGTTTATATGGTTTTTGTATTGAACAATTGCATGTTTTTTGGTTAAAATACATCATAAGTTAACTACAAACGATAACAATGTTCGAGCCCATTTATGTCCCAATAAATTTAGTCATCAAAAAAACTTTTACTACAACTTAAGAACTAGAAAACGAAAATCTTTATACAATTTATACAGAACTCAAAACGGAATAAATATTGAAAATGTTTACAGATATCAGATAAATGCAAATAAAACGTGCGATAAATTAGAACTCATGAGTGGGGCCATTATAAAATCGTTTTTTGCTTACGGCATGGCTAAAAAGGTTACAACTTCGTTAGGCACCTCAGACCGGACCCAATTGTAACTATAGAAATATTTATCACCTCTTTTCAGACTTATTTATTTGTTTTTTTTTTTTTAGATTTGAAAAAGCAATTCAATGAAAAAGTAATCAAATGAAAAGTAATTAAAACATTTTCATTGGCATAAAGTTTTTGTTGAACTAAATTTATTGGGTAGTACTGCATTTCAGAGAACTTGTAAGTATAATCTTAGGCATAAGTAGGTAATAATCATAAATAATGTATGAGTAGTTAAGAGTAGTTAGCATAAGTGTATCATAATATTCGATATACGCTTGTTTTTCATCTTAGCAAATTGGACAATGTTTGTTGCGATCTAACAGCTGTCGCTTGATCCTTGATCATATTTAATCGGTTTATTTAAGTATTTATTATTGCATAGCATATTGGTTAGCGTGAGGATACCGATTCCACAATGGCTCCATAAGCTGAGTGCCGTAGGGTTCTTAAGTGTGTGTCTCAATATAATCAAACAAAGTGCACATATTTCATACGAGTAATAACATTTGGAAAATGCAGCTCCTTAGATCGCTTACAGTGGGGGTTTAGCCTTGAATAATTGCCAAGTTCAGACCACTGTAAGTGATCTTTGAGCCCATGATCTACCATACTTTGCTACACAGGATTCGGGTAGGTTAACATAGATGGTTATTGGTTATTAATTATGGGGAGTACTGGTTATAAATGCTCATTATTTCACTTTGGAAAACATCTTTTGCTTTGTTTTTGATATTCTTTGGTAAGTTGGAGATTAAATGCTCGAGTATATATGTATGCTGACCGATTTGTTTCTTTTTTTCTTTAGCTTTTTAAGTATAGATATAACTGCCCTGGCTGGTTTACCAGATGAGCGAGAAGCGCTTCTTCTTGGGCACGTGATTGACGCTTATCTTGCGCAGTTTCTCAGGCGCAACGCCCTTGCGCGGTTTAAAGAGGTTTACCTGTAAGCCAACTTTGATCTTCTTGGTGAGCGCTCCCTGGGGGAAGACGGCCTGCACCTGTGGCACCACAGTGCTGGACACCATGCCGCCCTCGGGGCCAATGGCATGGACCTCCTGGCGTATGCGCGATACTACAGCAAAGTACTGGGGGAAATCGTAGGTGACAAAGCGGCACACATGGTTGCCAGCCTGCTCCTCCAGCTGGGCAATCTCTGCAGAAAAAAAAGAAAAGTTATAATCCATAGAAAACGCAAGAATTCCCACTCCTGCACTCACCCTCCGGCTCAAAGCATTGCTGCATCACGTCGTGTATGATCTCCTCCGAGTTGTCAATGGTGTGCTCCCGCCAGGTTTCGCCATTATCCGACCGAAGGATAATAATCTCACGCTCCTTGCCGCGCAGCGAGGCAAAGTGCGGCACCTCCATGACCACCGGTCCAATGAACTTGGTAGAGCACGGACCCAGCTCCAGGACGCGACTGGCCAAAGCCTCGCCCTCCATCAGCTGCGGCGGATGCATGGTGCGCTGCGGCTTCACATAGCGACAGGTGACACGCGTCGGCTGGCAGGTGGAGCGCGAAGGGATGATCATGCGCACCCCACTGTGTCGGCAGCCACGCATGGCTCCGCCACGGGCATCGACCAGGAAGGAAACCAGGAAGCTCTTCCAGCTCAGTTTGCGGCTGAAAAGTGTAAAAAAAATGTATTGAAACCGCGATTGCCAAGTGAAACATATATATTAATTTTAAAATAAAGATTTTAAAACCAAAAACTTTAAGAGTTCTTTTTAAAAATATTTAACAAAGGGATTTAATTGTCAAAATTGAAATAATTTTATTTTAAGGCAAAAAAATAGGTGTCAATCTTTACTTTACAATGAACTATGGCTAAATGAGGGTCTAGGATTTCAAAACTCACCCCACATGCGGCGGCTCATCGTGTCCAGATCCATTGGCAATGTACACACCATCGACGGTAGCCTTGGGCGAACTGCCATATACCTGGGCCTTGTGGGGGCTAATCACTTCCTCACCAATGGTGGGTGGTACACCGGAGGCATACTCAGTGCTCTGGGTCATCCGGTTGGAATCCATGCGCTCATCACGGGTCACATCGATGGGCAGCGAGTCGTCGCCTAGGGATTTCATTTCGTCAACGGTCAGATAACGGTATGGTTGATCTGATAGCATATTGTCTTCGCCTAGAGTTTTGAATCGATTTCGATGCGTTTCGAGGGCATTCCGCAGCATTTGCATTTTGGTTAAGCACAAGACAGTCCAATCGGCCATATAGCGTTGTAGTTGTTGTTATTTGATATAATTGTTGTTTCGTGTTTCAGTTGTTTTGGGTGTGTCGGAGTTGTTGTTGTTAAAAGTTGTTGATTTGTTGTATTGTTGAGTTGTTGTATTGTTGAATTGCAGATGAGAGAGCGCAGTGCATTGAAAATAGAAGAATGCAAATGAGTTTGATTTTAGTTAACAAATTTCGTAAGTTGTACATGCTTGATCTTATTTAGATTGATATAATAAATGGATATATATAGGGGTGATATAATATGTAAAGCTAGCATGACCGTTAAATAGGAGCATATTACATGGATATAGATACAGACACACAAGGTAACATTATTGCATGCCGCGGTTATAAGCGAACTCAGGGATATTAATCCCATCCTGACAAAAAAATTCAATAGTGATTTGAAGTCCTATCTACAAGGAAGATGTGAAATATCACAGATCAGAAATGTAGCTTTCAAAGCGAAGCCCAGTTCGATGGGTTACTTTTAAGGAAAGTAACTATGTAAAGGACATATGGAATAGCACAAATACAATAGCACATAATAGCACAAACATGTGCACACACACATGTACTCGCCACTGGATAAACCTAAGGCCGGCCACCTTTACTTCATTCCGGAAGTGCTAGAACCAGTTGGGAATTATATGTGCACACGTGTGGGATTTTTTTCACCAAAATTCTTAGGGCGAACTCGCCATGGTTTCTAATGAAAATTGACCAGCAAAAAAATGTGAAATTCGCTCTTAAATTAAGAAAATAACTAACGCCCTAATTTTGAAAAAAAATAGAAAAATTAACCCAAAAAATTTGTATTCGTTGCCCTAAATTCATAAAAACTTTTACTTAATTCTAAATTTTATTTATAGAGACATATTTTTATGAGTGTATGAATCGATAGTTTAGATTTTACACAAAATGTATGCAAACATATATATAAAAAGAACAAGGAGCCACAAGTATTGGACTTCCTTTCCGCACTTGATTACTCAATTACAACGTCAAGATATAGTTCTATACATTTCAGACCCATATAAAGTGCCGTTTGTAATCAAAACTTTTGTGGTCATTTCATAAAGCCAATCAGAATCCAATCATTAGCCAATTTGTGCACTTGATAATGGCCAGGATTTAATACGATACGAATAGGGATACGGATACGGTTAGGGGACTTCCAAGTGGCCCTGGGAGACACTTACTGGAGACATAGAGATTGTCGCCCTGGTAGTACGGCAGATAGACGTGGGCATCTGACCGACCTGGCCCAATGCCATACTCGTAGCCAGCGTCCAATTCCAAATTTGTGTCCCCTGACGGCGGACACGCATAAAAGAACGGGGGGGATTCACTTAGGACTATCGTAAACGTAATCGTAATCTATGGGTTTGTGCTAGGTGGTGTCTGTGTGCTGGCTGACTAGCTGGGCAGTGGAGCTTGTGGCTTATGGTTAGGTGTCAATTGGGAATTCAAAGGATACATACCGCCCTCTTCCTCGGAGTCGGACATGAAGGACTCGTGCATGGCCTCCGGGGCCACCACACGGTACTTCTCCTCGGCCTGGGCTGAGGCAGCAGCTGCCTCGTCCTCCTTCGTGATGGTCTTTAGCGAGTCCAGGACACTGATGTAGCCCAGCTTGCGGGCAATGTGGAGCGGCGTCTGCCCGTTGACAGTCTGGGCATTGGCATTGGCCTTGTGCTCCAGCAGAAGGTTCACAATATGGCAATGGCCCTGCTGAGCCGTCTGGTGCAACGGTGTGTACCCAATCGAGGTGGCCGCATCCACATTGGCGCCATTCTGGAGCAAGAAACGGACCATGTTGGCCTGTCCAAAGTGGGAGGCCACATGCAGCGGAGTGTAGCCCGCCTTGGTGGCCATGTCAATGTTGGCGCCATTCTTCTCCAGGATCTCGGCCACATTCACGTTGTCCTCCTGAGCGCACAGATGCATCGGGGTAAGACCATTCTTGGCCGGATGATTAACGGCTGCCTTGTGCTCAATGAGCAGGTTGGAGATTTCGGCATGGCCCTCCTGGCTGCTCAAATGGAGCGGGGTGAACCCAGCCTTGCTCTCGGCATTGGCCTGAGCACCATACTCCAGCAGCGTGGTGGCAATGTCCATCTGGTTCTTGCGGGCTGCAATGTGCAATGGCGTATGTCCATTCTTGGCCGTGGCATGGGGGCTGGCTCCCTTCTCCAGGAGCAGCAGGGCCACCTGCTGGTTGTTGTAGTGGCAGGCCACATGCAGCGGCGTGACTCCATTCTTGCCCTGGGCATCCACATCGGCCTCCTTCTGGAGCAGCAACTGGGCCACCTTGATGTGACCATATTTGGCGGTCAGATGGAGGGGCGTGAAGCCCTTCTTGGTGGCGGCGTCCAAAGCAGCGCCGTTTTCGATAAGCACAGCGGCCACCTAAAGGAGGTTTTTGAAGTTTATATTTAAGTAAATTATTTAGCTTCTTGAAGCAGTTAAACTCTGTTTTTTTAATTATTTAAAAAATGGGAAAATACAGGACAACACATACATACCAAAATACTGAAAAAGGTTTTACAACATATATTCAAAAATTATGAAAAGATCAAAATATTGATAAAATATTTCATTTCAAACTGAAAAAAAATGAAAAATATATAAAAATACAATAATAAATTTTGGGCTACAAATATGCTGAAAATGAAACTTAAAAACATCATTAATTAAATAAAAGAAAAAATACAACAAATTTTAAAAAAGAGTTGCAACATTTATTCGAAAACAAACGTAAAAGCGAGAACAACACAAGAGCGAAAGAGACAACTCATAATACTCAAATCAAAAAAAGTCGCATAAGGACCAAGGATCAAATGAAAAACTCCTGATGGCGTATCCAAAACAGTTGCATCAGGTAAACGGTGTCGATGTGGTCGGTAATCTTTTTCGCTATCAGCTCTTTTACCTCATCCTGGCCCTCCTTGGCGGCAATGTGCAACGCCGTGTACATGTCCTTGGTGGTGGCATCCACCTGGGCGCCATGTTGCAGCAGCAGCATCACAATGTCCACATTACCCAGCCGGGAGGCAATGTGCAGAGGAGTCTGCTGCTCCCGGGCACGAGCGTCCACCTGGGCGCCATTGCGCAGCAAGATGCGAATGATGTCGGTCTGGAAAGGATTATAAGAAGATGTTTCAAGGTATTAACAAGGCATTTTTTATTCTTAAAATTTTTATCCTGACTTTTTATCAAAATTGTAAGTCAAAAGACCCGATTTTTGACTAGAAAATTAAGTTAATTTGTTAAATAAAAAATATAAAATTTAATCAAAGATTTCCTGCTTTCCCCTGCAACACCCTGTATTCCCAACTCACCTGGTTGGCTCTGGCGGCCAGATGCAGTGGCGTCTCTCCCCGCACAGTGGGCACATCGGGACTGGCATCGTGCTGCAGCAGATAGATGACAATGTTCATGCAACCCATAAAGGCGGCCACATGAAGCGGGGTCAGTCCACTCTCCGTGGTGGCACTAATGCTGGCACCGTGCCGCAGGAGCAGCTCCACCACCTTCAAGCGGTTCTTCTTGCAGGCAATGTGCAGTGGAGTGAATCCATTCAACGCTCGGGCATTCGCATCCGCATTACGATCCAGCAGAAGCTTGGCCACCCGGACATGGCCACAGTGGGCGGCCACATGAAGAGCGGTCAAATAATCCACGGTCACCTCATCAACCGGGGCACGATGGTACAAAAGGATGCGGGCGGCATCCACGTGCTCACCCTGGGCGGCCATGTGAAGAGGAGCCAAGCCGTTCTTGGTCTTGGCGCTGATGGGAGCACCCCGTTCGAGCAGCATGTCCACCACTTGTTCGTGTCCCGAGCGAGCGGCGCAATGGAGCGGGGTGAGACCATCCCGGGTCTTGGCCTCGATGTTGCCGCCCTTCTCCAGCAGCAGGGAGACCATGTTGGTCTTACCCCACTTGGCGGCCACGTGCAGCGGACTGATGTTATGCTTGGCCGAGTAGTTGACATCGGCGCCCTTTTGGATCAGCAGATTGGCGATGTTCTGGTTGCCATAATGCGAGGCAATGTGCAGCGGGGTGAAGCCCGACTTGGAAGTCACATCCGGATTGTGGTCATTCTGAAGAAAAAGTAGGACAATTTTAAGTTAGTAATGTTGTTATTGATTCTGTTAAGAAATACTCACATCCAGGAGAAGCGTGGCCGCCTTGACATCATCCTTCTTGGCGGCGATGTGCAGCGCCGGAAGCCTGACCTTGCCGCGGGTGTCGCTCTCCAAGAGCACTGCCACTACCTTATCGTGACCCTGCTGCATGGCCACCGCCAAGGGAGTGAAACCATCCTCGGTGGCCAGGCTCTGATTGGCTCCATTGGACAGTAATAGACGCACCACAGCATCGTGGTTCTCCTGGGCGGCCATGTAGAGAGGTGTGAAGCCATTCTGGGACTGGACATTAACCGAGGCATTGTGCTCTAGCAGCAGCTTTACCACCTCCTCCTGCCCGGCTAGCGAGGCGATATGGAGTGCCGTGTTGCCCTTCTTGGTGGCACTGTCCACGAGTGCCCCACGGCGCAGCAGCTCCGAGACAACATGGATATGGCCATCCTTAGAGGCCAGGTGCAAGGCATTCAAGCCGTTCTATATGGAGAATTTGAAAATTATTGCTTAGGTTAAAGGTTTTAAAGATTTGCTTTGGACATACCGCATTGCTGGTATTGATGTCAATGTTATTCTTCAAATGCTCAAGCACACGTTCCAGGTTGCCAGCGCGAGCGGCACGCAGGAAGGAAGTGTTTCCATCGCCCTGTAAAATAATAATTATAAGATTTAAAAAGGGGGAACATTGTTAATCCCGGCTAAAAAGAGCTTATATTAAAGTTAATAATTGGAGAAAATACATTTGCTATTCTTGAAACAAATAAAATAAATCAAAATAAAATAAAATTAACCCACGAAATTGTTCTTATATTTCACAGGTATTTCTCTACAAATAGAAACCTTGGAAAAAAGCCATAAATAATGGCTCTCAACCTGCAAATTAACCCTATTTTCACACCATTATCCTAAGAAGTCAAAGGTCATCGAGAAGTAATTGCTTGTCGGCTTATCAAACGCCAGGTAATCTATCTTTGCAAAGTTTCCGTTTGCCAGCCAAACTTTCCATCTTCTTTTTTGTAGGTACAAGTATGTTAGTTGCGTGCCAGCTGCGTATCCATCACCTGGTGGGTGTTGTGGGTGTGGGCGCACTTGGAGTTTTATTGATCGTTGCTAGGTTGCGCAACTCCAAGTTTGGTGCCCCTGCTTCGAGTGCGATGGTTACATATCGTGATTATGCACCTGCTCAAGTTCAACTCGCGGCGGTCAAGGCGAGGGGTCAGCGTTCAGCCGTTTCCCGTTTTCCGGCTTTTGGCGCAGGTGGTGTACTACCCGTACATTCGGTCTAATGGCCAACGCCCACCCAATGGACACCCACTCCACCCACTGGGCCGGGCTCAGCTGTCTATTCCATCGTTCCAGTGCTGGGTGGTTGTTGGCCATGTTTTGTTTATGTTTTTTTCTCCCCCTCAGAGAGCTCGTCAGGATTTCATTTTCGATATCGAAAATGACGTCATGTTGCTTCTAAAAACTGCAACTGGAAGTCGGCAAATCGGTACTTTTCGCACTGGAAGGCAGCGAACGGCGAAATTCGCACACACGACGCCGCTGAAGAGTGACCGCAGCTCAGACACCGCCAGAGACTCGCTTCCTGGGCTCTAAAGCCCCCCATCCAATGCCGCCCTCTTTGGCAAACAAGGAAGTGTGTGAAGGATATACAGAAGCGGCCCAATAAAAGAACTCATTTCATATGCCCTGGGCATACATACGAATTGAATAAGGGCCTGTTTGCTCCGACTATGCTTCCTGAAGTCTGTTTGCTTGACTGCACAGGGGAAAATTAAAGTTACCATAGGGGTTTGGTCTTTTACACATAAAGGATTTTTTTTTGTGCAAAGTCTTTAATAAAGCTTACTTATATGTTAAATTAAAATGCTAATAAAAATAATTATTTTGGGAATTTTAACAATATTATTCAGGGTTTAGGAAAAGGCTTTGGAATTACAAATTGCTGATTAAGTTATCAGTCGAAATTGGGTTTGAAAAATGTATTCAAAAGTTTCTGGCATAATTTTTCTGATATTACTTTATATGTTGTAAGATATTATTATAAGTTTTATATTATTTTATTATTATTAGACCACAATTTTTAATATAAAAACTATATTTAGGTAACTTCAAAGACATTTGCTTCCTTAGTAAAAAAAAACTAGAGCATTTCTTTAAGGTTTGGATACAAAAATACAACTTAAATAAGTTTTTATTGATTTCTTTGTTACTTTCACCGTTAGAAAACTCCATAAAACCTAAAAAAAAAGTATTTTATGTATTTTAATAATTATTTAGACTCTTTGTGCAATGAATTCATAATAAATAAATTCCGTATACAAATTTCCTAATCATTTCGAAGTTTAATTATAAAATGATTTCCCTCAATACTTTCCTAATTTTTCCTTTCAGAATATTGTTTATCCGACATCAGAAATGTTAAAAAGGTCATCAAATTACTCATATTTTTCTCAGTGCAGATACAAGTTGGCTCACCAGACATGGGCCAAAAGTTCAAAGGTGCTTGGGCTCGGCCTCGCCCCCGCTTTCGTCATTGTATAACGAGGAGCCCAAGAGCTCGGGCAAATCGAGTGCTTGCCCAAAGGAGTTTCGCCTTGAAGCATGGAAGTGGATTCGCTTTGAACTTGTGTGGCCATGTTGCCACTTGAAAGCATGCTTTACGACCAATCAAAGTCCAAGTGGAGGTCCTTGGCAGGAGCAACAATTAATCGCTTAATGCCGCTGGCTGCTGCTCGAAGAGCAGATGAAAAAAGTGAGTCATATTATGGATTTTTCCCCCATCTTGGCACGAATGTCGCATGTCATCATAAGGTTTAACCTAAATCTCGATTACCTTACGCTGCTGCCAACAAACACACGCACGCACCACACCCAGTTCCGATTAAAGGGACACCACCAGTGGTGGTGGTGGTGGTAGTGGTGCCACCAACTGGCTCCAATTGCCGCTGGTTAGTACAGCAATTATTTTTAGACCATTGTTCAGGTTAAAATCGGATATTGCCTGCAACGCCCACAAATTAATTGGAGTGAAAAATCAATAAACTTTCTTGAAGAGGGAAAATGATTGAAAACCCCCTTAACAACCCCTTAAAATAACCAGAATATCCTTTTTTTGGATGGGAAAACATAGAGAAACTCTTAGTAATAGACCTATTTACCAGATTTTTCTCAATTGCTGCACTTTTTCAGGCAGACAACGAAAAATCGATAATCTGCAAAATGGACGCCAACATGGCTGCCCCCCAGAATCTAAGACATTGGGCATGAAAACCTGACTTTCCCCCACAGAAATCCAAGTAGAAAAATTGTCTTTTACCTGAGCTCCATTTTCGGTGACCATTTTGATCGGAAATTAGAAAATGTCCACCTGGCGTTGAAGTCTGCGATTGTACTTGGTGTAGAGAAATTGTGTAAGCGGCGACGGCGGCGTATGTCGTCACTGCAGCTTAGTCATATTTTTCACTAGCCCAGAGACTTTTCCTCAGCCACAGGATCTCGCGGAAAACTCACTCGCCTCGAGGATTGCTCGAGACCTTCTCCTTTTTTCCGATTCTGAATATTAAATGCACTCCTATCGATTTTTCCTTAGACTTTATGTAAGCTATATGTACACGAGTGCATGAGTGTGCGAGGAGGGTGTGTTCGTACGGGCGACCGAGTCGAGTGTGTGCGTGTCAGTGTCAGTGTATGGGTGTATGGGTGTGCGCCTTTGTCTGACTGTGTGTGTGTGTGTGTGTGTCTGATTGGATTTTCTGGCTGCTCTCACACAGTCCCTTCTGAATTCACGGTTTTCGAGGAGCAGTTTTCGTTGCTGCCGTTTTCTTCGATGTTCAACTCCAGACTGGCTGCGACAAGTCCTGCTGCGAGTGGTGGAAACTTCAACTGTCGCCGTGGCCAGGACTGTTCGAAGGACCTGCGCACTTGGCCATTCCAATTGGAACGTTCACCCCCAGGAACTCGAGGGTTGTTCGACCGCTGGAACCGAGGAGTTCGAATGGAAAACGAAGACTCTCCCCCAAAACCGACACGTGTCCTTTGTTATTGTTGACGTTTTTATAGTCCCCAGAGCACGTGCTATAAAGGAAGTAAATCCCTATCGATGGGCTATTGTCAGCTTAAATGCATTGTTTTTAAGAAATTTTAAAAATTTAATGCATGTCAAACTAGGATTTGATATGCTTTCTGTGCAGGGTAACTTGAGCTTGCAAGTGAGACACAAGAAAACATCATTAATCATTGTAAAGAGGGCACTTTGAAAGCAAAAACTCGATTAGAGAAATGTCTAGGAATAAATTACAAGTCATTATTTCATAATTTTGCATATTTCTACTTCCCTACAGAAATTGAAATTTATTAAGAAAGTATCTGGTAATATTATTATGGGTTTCTTAATGGATAGCTTAGTTTTTTAAATATATTTCAAGGATTTCGCACTATATGAAAGTATATTTTACAAAGTTTCCTATACTTCAATTTATAAGTAGAGAAACTATAGCAATTTATATTTCCAAGGTAGAGTTTTCTACAAAATCAACATTTCTCAATGTTTAATCTTTAAATCTCAAAAGTCATTAGGCCTTTTTCAACCCCTTTTCCTATAAATAAACCAGTTTTAATGCCGTTATAACTAATTTGTGACATTAATTTGATAAGCAAATAAAAAAGACAGTTTCTATATTCTCAGCAAAGATATAAAACAAACACCACAGTGGGTGTCCTTCAGTTTAAAAGAATATATCAAATGTAACCCAGCCCTATTAAATACAACTTCCCGTTCTGCTTAGAACTCTCTGAAATATTTGTTTGTTCAATCCAATAAGAATAAAGTGCACCACACCCCAGTTCCTATTACAAATATTTACGGAGCTGTAGTTATCCATCCCGGGGCGTAACTATCCTAACAAGACCCACATTAATCACCCAGTCATGGCGAGCACAATAAAATCCGGGGCATTAAGTTCCACCGACAGTTTCAGTTAGCACATTAGACTAATTAGCCAAGTACACACGAAAACACATGGAACTGGCCGACGAGTGGTCCTACCCCTAGATAATCTGCCGGCCCGAAACAATGTTGACCGAGAGTAAATAAAGGCCCGGCCGAGACGAGCGAGTGCACACAATCCACAGTTGGTTGGATGGATGGATGGATGGCCGGAATCCTTCCAGTTGGGGATTAGCTCTAGCGCAGACGCGCCGCTCGCCTGGACTTTGTTTACTTGCCTTTTCGAACTGGCGATTCGGATGATGGAGAGCCCAGTTCGAAAAAATCACACCCCTAAACCCACCCCCCGAGAGGTGGAACATCCCAATCGAATGCGTATGCATTCCCAGTCACGTTGTGCCAAGTAAGGCGAAGCAGGGCCAGTGCCATTAATTCTGCTTCTTAGACAGGAAACCCACCCCTCTCGCCCTCCAGGGGGGAAAGAAAGAAACCACCCCCTTTGAGGGATTGCATAAAATTGCATTTCAAATTGCATCGTGACCGGGACAAATAGTGGCTTAAACAAAGGAATGGGTGTGCGTGAATCACGTTGCAGGTAATTAACTGTGCCAGCAAGGTGCCAGCCACATTTTGAATTTAATTAAAGAGCTTCCCCTTTTTCCCTTTCTCGAATGTCGCCCTTAAGTCCCTTCACTTGGCCTTTATCGCCTGGCCAACTTTGGTGTTGACCAAGCGAAGGGGTTTCCCGGTCGCACTTTAAAGCCAAAAGCCCAAGAGTTGGGCTCGCACAGGGTGGGCCCGAAACCAAATGGCTCTTTCGCATGTCACCCGGCACTCCAACAATGTTTATATATACCCTCGCTTTGTTTGGATATTGTCATTTGTGTGTGGCTTAATTAATAATTCAAAAGCTTCCTTTAGTTTTTACCCATGCAATTGATAGATTTTTAATTACTTTTCTTGCCTTGGGCTAACTAAGATTGCCAAAAGCCCGAGGGAAATGTGGAAGGTAACATTTAGGACATGTGGAATATTGAAATTTTTAAATTAAATAATATTTGTGTATCATCTTTAATTTAAAGATATAAAAAACTAAGACAGATAGATACAACTTTAATAAGACTATTGTATACTAAAATTTCCTTATTTAACTACGGCTTTTCAAGTTAAGAATCCACTAGAGTTTCCCAAAGCATTTTCCCAATTTATTCCCCCAAAAAGAGTATTCACAATTCTCTACCCCGAATAAGTTGTTAAATCCTCCCCTTATTTAAGTTAATATTTGTGTTAGCATCGCTGTGGGCTGTCGGCAGCAATATGATATTGCAAAGACCCTCCGCAAAGCCCCTCGGAAAACACCGTGGCAGGAATGTTTTTGGGGCAATGCCTTAAGTAAATTACCAGCTAGATGAGCTGATTGCCCATAATTCTGACGACCCCAAAAACGCAACGAAAATTGAGCACACGCCAAAATCGCCATTTCGTGGGCAATTTCAGGGGGGAAATGGAAACATTTTCACCGTGTTCAGTTCACTGCACCTGAGCGGGGGGCGTGTGGAAAATGAAAACATCGGAAAAAAAGAAACAACGACGCACGCACAAAATTATGAAAAATGTAAAATTCTTCGCACGAAATGCTGGCCAATTTGGTTGGCGGAATGTTTGTATTTATAAAACGACCTAAAACAGATGCTATAGCTTGTTTTTTTTATATTTTTTTTTATTGGGGATATGCAATTCTCTTCCCTTGAAATTACATAAATTAAGTCCAAGGTGTCGCCAACTTACGCCCAAACTCTGCAGCGATGGGAAGCGTTTCTTCAGCGTCTCCATTTGCCCAGATCTCCCTGCTTATCCAGCGACGTACGTCAACAAGCGGGCCAATAAATTGAAATATATACGCGTATATATCTAGATATTGTCTAGAGGGCCTCACGCGGCAGCCGCACCGAGACGAGTCGAGTCGATTCGAGTCGTTTTCTGAATTATTTTCGAATGCGCCCCGTCGGACGAGAGACCCCAGAACAAAATAGAATAGAATAGACCTGAGAACACATGCCAAAGTAAAGAGTGAGCCAAAGAGAGCATTTAGACAGTACATTTAGCCAAATTGGCTATTTATAAAGGCCAAGAAGATTGCGAAAAAGAGCTTTTAGCTGTGCGTCGACCTCAGGATTGTCGAGTTATGGAAACGCCAGGCATCCGGGCGCCAGCAGGAGTTGTTAATGCCCCCGCAAGGACAACGGAAGCGCACTGCCTGGCCGATGACTCATTTGGCATTGGACGGAGTCAGTCCAAGGATTACTATTGCGTCATCGCGGGGATGGGTTTCAAGCAGGAGTTCCTCTCCTCAAGATGTGACTACCGCAAGCGGGAAAATGATGCTCCTAAAAGTTGTGATTCATGGGTAACTTTCAAGGATGATTTATGTCAGCATTTAGATGATGATATTATCATGGTCTTAGCCTGATTTAGGGGTGACCTCAACGCGGTGTCTGTATTTGTTTATCCTGCATCTGGAAGTTGATACATCGTAAAAGCTATTAGGATATGTAAGGATGTGTTCCTTTAATCTTTTAACAAGATACACATCTCATAAACATCTTTAGATAATGTTACACCACACATTTAAAATGTAGATTTATATCTCCTTACTCCTTTTCATCCTTTTAGCCGAGTGAAAAATGTTCTCCATAAAAAAGTATTAGGGGATAAAAAAGCGGATACATACAAATATGAACCCGCCTATAAAAGCTATTCAATTTTACGACTTCATCGTATCTTTTACAAACCATTAGGTTGTGACCTCTAATTGTGTCCCCTCTGACTCTCGTGACTATGTATGTTATCTATATTAAAAAAAAGAGCAACCCGCTCTTCGCAGTTCCCTATGATGTAATCCCGTTAAGGCCTACTCACCGCGCTCTGGTGTCCTGTGGGGCAGTGCTCATGCTTGTTGGCACTGTGGTGCTGTTGCTTCTGGGCACCACCAGCTCCTCCCTCATGGTGAAAGACCTGCTCATGCTGGTGCTGGAAGTACTCGTAGTGGCCAACATGATCCGGATGATGCTCCGTCGGCGGCGAGTGGATCTGCGAGGGCGGGCTGTGGCTGTGATGCTGCGTCTTGGGGGCGTGTCCACTGGTGGTTGTGGTATGGTGCGCCTGCTTGTGCGGATGGGCTGTGGAGGAAGCGGCGCCGCCATGATGACCGCCGCCGGAATGGTGTCCGTGTCCATGGCCGTGGTGATGATTGTGGGTGGGGGGCGAGGGCATGTTGTGCCCACTGTGGGGCAGATGCGACGAGTGTTGCACACCCACCTGATGACCGTGGTGGTGGGGCACATGACCTTGCGACGCCTCCATCAGCGTGGGCTGGATGTGGGTCACAAACTGGGCCATCTTGACGAGACCTTCGACAGAGGCTGGCTTCTTTTTATATTTTTAGGAGGCTTAGGTAACACTTGTTTAACTTTTCACTGCTCCCTGCGAGGGGGCTCTATATGTATCCCAGAAGTGGGAGTGGGTAGCGCGAAACACACACACACACTGTGACACTCACTTTCTCTCAGGGACTTGTGGACGCGATGGAGCAGACGGCGGCGATAGAGGATCTAAGCTCGGAGCGTGGACAACCTTCTCGCAGGAGCAATGTCAAATGACTGACTGGCTAGGACCAGCAGCTATCCCAGTTGTGCCTTAGATGCCACGGGACTTTTCACCATCCCCCGGCCATCCAGCCATCGAGCCACCCGCCAAGGCACCACCCGAACCACTTCGGCTCCGAGTCGGGCTCTGTTCGGCGTCCTGCCTGGCGGAAGAGCTTTAACCGGACCCAGTTTTATGCGCCTGGCTGATAAGAGACTCCCAGCTTCCGTTCCTCCTGCCACCTCCTCAGATGAAGCTGATTTTGGATGGTTGCGGATACTGATTTAATGATGCCTTCCTGCCCTGCTCCGCAACGCTCTGCTCTTTATCTACTGCTTGTCAACTGTGTCACGGACTCCCAATTCGTTTTGCTGGAGATTGCTGTGTATATATCACTCACTCTGTTATTTTTAACGCAGCCAGCGGAACATGTTTCATCTATTTGTGTCAAGCGCAAAAGTATGCTCCAATTTTTAAGAGCCTAACAGGTGGCATCGGAGGCTGTCGACTAGGTGATGCTGTTGAAAAGTTGAAGAAATCGTAGCAGAAATACAATATACAATATATATAATATAAATTTATTCAATAAATAATATGGTTAATATAATTACGGTATACATTTTTCCGATATAATTTTGTATGCCTCTATATCCCGAATATTATGTCTAGGTTTATTTGTTTACTATGAACTTATTATTATTATTTACTGGTCTTTATTTATGTAACTTAATAATAATCAAACAATTTTTACAAATACATAAATGTATATTTTATAGGAAAATACATGAGAGATTAATCCCAACCTTTTTATTTTTATTTGTATTTAAAAGTACTACATTCTAAAGATTTTATTAAACATCTTTGGTCTAAGTTCACTTTTTAATTTTATATATTTTTTCGTTATAAGCCTAATATACCCTTACACTCTTATTTTACCCACACTTCCCCATAAACTTTGCTTTACGTTGTTTAAGCTAAAAGCTTTTTTCCTTACGTTATTTGCCAAATCTTACGTTGAGTTGTAGGTACGTTTTTTTGTGCTTTTACGATAGGGTATTTGTAGGGGTTCATTAGTTCATCAAAAAAGGGGGTGTGTCTCTGTAGCATCAATTTGTAATATATATTTAGTTAAACACAAGATTAAATATATATAAATATAGTAAAATAATATATTTTAATTAGGTTTTTACAGGTTACAAATTAAGATAAACTAATTGGTTCGAAAGAAAATACAAAATTATATAAGATATATAAGGAAAATAAAATTAAAATTAAATAAAATTAAAATATGTACCTAAATAAATATTTAAAAATATTAAAAATATATTAATTAATATCTCCTGTTCCTGGAGGAAACCCTATAAAAATTGAATAAAAATCCTCGCAAACCCTTCTCCACATAACCCTTCTAGAAAAGCTCAAATGGCAGCGCATACAACGTTCGAGAGCATTCCCTTATCTTCCCCAGTTGGATGTCTGTACCCAGGGATGTGCCTTTGTATGCTTGTGGTACCGTGTGTCACCACCAAGAGTCTGTAGCTTTGCGGCTGCTCTGCTGCCAGCGCAACAAAGTCCAATGTCCAAGCGTCGCTGCTCGCCGAACCGCCATGTACAAATATCGCTGTACCGGTGCACCGCCAACTCGTTTGGATCATTTCGCTGCGAGCCACCGACGAGTAAGCAAGGCGACCTAGTTAAATCTTAAAAAAATAAAACTATAATAAAACCAATGGCGTTCCTCAACAAGGTGAGCATATCAGTTAAATTGCGCAGAGAGAAAGTGAATAAAAAACCATTTGGGGGTTCAAAGTTCTGTCTAGTGACGCCAGCAGCTGTTGATCGTCTGCGATACGGAATTATATATATATCATATACATGCTGATATATATATATGTGTGCTATATGTTTCGTAAACACATTTGTTGTTGTTGCTTATCTGCCAGCAATCATCTGTACTTTGCCCCCCTTTGGCAATTATTATTAGCGGCGTCTAACGGCGAATGTTTTGCACTCGATTTGAATTGGAATGTGAACCTTAATTATTGGGCCTGATATAACCTTTAATAAATTTTACTATAAGAAAGCATAATGAGTCAAAAGACCTAAATACATAATACATTCGTTGATCATTTAAATAAAAATAATTTTTACATATAAAAAGCAAACCTTAAATAATAAAAAACTCTCTTAAAAATAATTAAAAATACGTATTAAATAGCCTAAAATCTCTGGTATTGTGTAAGCTTTAATTTCCTATCACAACTCTAATTTATTCTTTATTATTTATTTTCCTTACGAACACAGCTAGCTGCGCCCGCTCTGCGCCAGCTGGTTTCCCAAAGCCGCGCCTATGCCGCCGTCTCTCATGTCTCGCCCAATGGCACCTCCTTTGCCCTTACCGAGGAGCAGCAGCAGCTGCAGGAGCTGGCCCGCAAGTTCACCCGCGAGGAGATCATCCCAGTGGCCGCCCAATACGACAAGAGCGGCGAGTACCCGTGGCCCATCATCAAGAAGGCCTGGGAACTGGGCCTGATGAACAATCACATTCCCGCTGATCTGGGTGGCATGGATCTCGATGTGTTCACCACCTGCCTGACGGCCGAGGAGCTGGCCTATGGCTGCACCGGCATTATGACTGCCCTGGAGGCCAGTGGTCTTGGTGTAAGTTTAAATCTTTGAAAAAACTCACCCAAAGATGTTCTAAATCCTCTTTTTTGCTGCAGCAAACACCTGTGATCTTGTCCGGTAACAAGGAGCAGAAGAAGAAGTATCTGGGTCGTCTGCTGGAGGAGCCGCTGGTGGCCGCCTATGGTGTCACAGAGCCCGGAGCTGGATCCGATGTGAGCGGCATCAAGACGCGTGCCGAGAAGAAGGGCGACGAGTGGGTGATCAACGGCCAGAAGATGTGGATCACCAACGGTGGCGTGGCCAACTGGTACTTTGTGCTGGCCCGCACCAATCCCGATCCCAAGTGCCCGCCCAGCAAGGCCTTCACCGGCTTCATTGTGGAGCGTGATTCTCCCGGTCTGACGCCCGGTCGCAAGGAGATGAACATGGGACAGCGCGCCTCCGATACACGTGGCATCACCTTCGAGGATGTGCGCGTGCCCAAGGAGAATGTGTTGATTGGCGAGGGCGCCGGCTTCAAGATTGCCATGGGCACTTTCGACAAGACCCGTCCCCCGGTGGCCGCCGGTGCCGTGGGTCTGGCCCAGCGCTGCATGGATGAGGCTCTTAAGTACGCCCTTGAGCGCAAGACCTTTGGAGTGCCCATCGCCTACCATCAGGCTGTGCAGTTCATGCTGGCGGATATGGCCATCGGTGTGGAGACCTCCCGTCTTGCGTGGCGTCTGTCTGCCTGGGAAATCGACCAGGGACGCCGCAACAGTTACTATGCCTCCATTGCCAAGTGTCATGCCGCTGATATGGCCAACAAGATTGCCTCCGACGCTGTACAGATCTTCGGCGGCAACGGCTTCAACAGCGAGTATCCCGTGGAGAAGCTGATGCGTGATGCCAAGATCTACCAGATCTACGAGGGCACCTCCCAGATCCAGCGTCTCATCATCTCGCGAAACATGTACGAGGCTGCCAAGGGCAGTGCCTAAGGCACTACCTTGAAGGAGTCCTCATCGCCGCCATTCACCTCAGTCGTCCTCATGCTCATTTTTAGACCACATTCACAAAATCGTTAAATAAAATAAGTAATAATTAACAGAACTTAAGCTTGAGGAACATTTTGGAACAATTTAAAAGTTAATCTAAAAATTTACCCTCGGAGAAGAGGGAAAGTAAGTTGGAAATACTTCACAGATACCCGAAGTATCTATCTCTAAACAGCCCCAAGTTGGATTGGAACTTCCTAATTTGGGAAACATTTTGCAACATTGTAAAAGTTTATCTTCAACTCTCCTTGAGAATAAAATGGAGGGTAAGTGGAGCTACTTCACAGATACCCCAAGTATCTACAAGTATCCATATCTAAAAAAAACCCTCAAGTTCGATTGAAAATTCATTTTTAATTATTGTTTGCACTCACTTTTCACTTACCCCAAGAGTCTAGAGTCTAGTCTTGGTCTCATCAATACCGGCTACTCGTTGTCCGCAGGTTAAATTATTTCGCCAGCTATCATCCTCTGATAAGATAAGCCCAGCCGACAGTGGGGGCTGAGTGCTTGTCGAGGCACTAAAAGATAAGGCGTCTATGCGGATTTTTGCTATATAATTGTCAAACATAAAAGAAAACTAATCTGGGACAACAGAGCAGCACAAAGTTGTTTATACACGATGAGACTTCACTTTAAATGCGCTATTCCGCCTCATTCTCACCAGCCAGAAGCTTTAGAATTCCCTTGAAGCTTCTACCATTCTTTCTTTTGCTCGAAATCTTCACCATCTGGGCTTTGTCGCCAAACTGCAGCTGCCAAATGGACTGCAGGGTCTCCAAAGCTCCGGGCATGGAGAACACCTGCTCATTAATGGTTAGCTCCAAGCGCCTGGGCAGCTGCTTTTGTTCTTCAAGTTTCCGTAGGCGAGAGTCATCCAGAAGATTTATACAATTGATGGCCAGCAGTGTGCGCAGTTGAGGCAGTTCATCCAGAATATAGCCAAAGGCAGTGCCACTCAGTTTGCCATTATCGCTTATGTCCAGCCACTGCAGTTGCTTGGCCTTGGCCAGGTGTTGGCTTATTTTGTAAAGGTGAGCATCGCTTAGACCACAGCCGGCAAGTTCCACTCGCGTGAATCGCTCGCAGGTGCCAGATTCCATCAGAGTCACCAGAAGCTCGCCCAAAGCAAAGCCACTGGCCTCGTCCAGGGGCCAGCGTACATAGCCGAGATTCAACTCCTCCAAGCGGCAACTGTTGAGCAGCTCGGTCAGCCGGCGTATGCTTTGGTGGGTGAGCTGGTTGAAGCTTATATCAAAGCGGGTTAGTTGATGGAAGCCCAGGTCAAAGTCCTGCAGTTCCGTCAGCTCACACTGGGAAATTTTCAGGGAGGTTAAAGCACGACCAGCTGGACTGCTACATAACTTGTTTAGGATCCTCAAACTGGCATTTCCCAAAGGATTCTGACTTAGGCTTAGTTCCTCTAGGAGCTCTAGTTTATCCATTCCCTGACTGCTTAGTAGAGCCTCCAATCCCTGGTAGCCAATAGCATTACATTCCAGTCGCAGTGCCTTGAGTTGGAGCAGCGTGGGCAGGGATTTGGCCAACTGCTGGCAGCCCTCGTTGCCTATGAAGTTACGGGAAAGATCCAAGACTGTGAGTCTAGCCTGATGCAAGAGAGCCTTAAAAACGGGCTCAGTTTGCGAGGCACGCATCCACAGACCAGAAAGCTCCAGCATTAGGGTATTCTGAGAGCGTTCCAACAGTAGCTTGACTTTGGGGTCCACAGCTGGAAGAGAGGGGAATCGGTGGATAAATTTTAAATTTTAATTGTGAAAATTCCCTCTTACTTTTCTGAACCTGATGACACATTTCCTCATAGCGCTGCGACAGAGGCGATATTTTCCAGTCGAGAATGGTAGCCATTAGCATGTTTTGCTCCAGCGCCACGCTCACAGGATCCGTTTCCTCGTAGGCAAAGCCATCGGCAGTCTTAAGACGCAAGAGTGGGGTGAGGCCCGTTAACCTAAATATATGTATATATTTATAGAAATAAGGTATTTGGTACTAATTAAACCACTTACTTGTTATATCGCCTGCCCGCCTCCTCAGCCAGCCAGCGCATGTTGATGTCCTGCAGCTTCTTACGCTCAATGGGGACCAGCAGCAGCTCGTCCTGCACTTTAACCTTAAAAGACACAGTAGTGGCCAGCACAGGAGTGGTTTGCACCTTGATAGGTGACGTTTTAGAAGGGGAAATGAGCACTTGAATACTGGTGGTGGAGTCCGGTTCAATGGTATGCAGGCTGATAACCGAGGCGGCGCCATCCTGCGAAGACTCGCTGCCAAAGGGACTCTCGCTTCGGAACCTACTAAACCCGCTATCCATGAGGGTAGCTTGATGTTTTCTCCTGCTAGAAGCCGGAGCCAATGAACCGGAGCTGCTTTTGTTGCTATTCATGCTGGAAGAGCGCGATAAAGTGAGCTTTCGTAACTGCTTTTGGCGTTGGGAGGAGTCTATCTCGGGAGGATCCTCCTCCCAGTCAAGGGGCAACGACAGGGCAGTGTCCTGCAGATTCTCCTTGGAGGGACGAGTGGTAAGGCTGCCTGAATTGATGCGCTTGCGCTTACGTTCTGGACCCACGTCGTCTATTAGCCAGTTGTCGGCATCCACTTCATCTTCGTCCAGGAAGGCATTCCTTTTCTGCTTGCTGTTTGAGCTGGTAATAGGAGGATCATCGAAGAGACGATTGGGTTTTTTCAGCTGGGCCATGACGCTCTTGTACTCCTTGCTGGCACTTGGCTGGGAGGTGCTTCCAGCTTTCTTGGCTTCGTAATCGCTTGCCGAGCGGTTGTGCCTAAGGGATCTTCGATGGCTCTCGCGAAGAGCTGCTTCCTCATCCTCCTCTGCCTCCGACTGGCTTAGCCTCTCCTCGCTGCTGGACTTCCTTACATTGGAGTTGGTTAGAGGACGAGCATTCCGTTCGCTGCAAATGCCCACCTTGGAGAGCGTGCGCAGGAGTCTCTCTCGCAGTTGGGCATACTGAGCCTGCTCACCATCCACCAGTTGAGCTGTCTGCCGCCATTTGTCCAGCCCTGCTATGCAGGTCTCATTGTAATCCGTTCGCACAGTGGCATCTGCTCCACGGTCCAGCAGGAGTTCAGCCACATCTAGGTAACCATTAGAGCAGGCATCGAAGAGCGGGGTAATGCCATCACAGCTGGTTCCCCCTTTGTCATTGATGGCCGATGCGGCGCCTTTGTCCAACAGAAGCTCCACAATCTCCCGGTAGCCGTGGTTCGAGGCCTCGTGGAGGGGCAGCCAGCCAGCATGATCTCGCACATTGACCGTGTGACCCTGGTCGATGAGCCTTCGCACCAGCTCCAGGTTGCCGGATATGCAAGCCTGATGCAGCTGTGTTTCGCCCTTGTTGTTCTTTTTGATGGTATAGGATCTGCTGCCACGGGTGGCCCTTTGTGGTCGTGGCTTCTCGCTCTCATCCAGATCACTGGCATCAGAGTCGGTGAGCGTGTTCAAGTCGAAATCATCATCCCAGTCTGGAGTATTCTGCTGAACAGAAGTGGCTTCCGAATCCTCCTCGTCATCTTCAAAACTATCTTCATGGTTCAAATCAATGCCCTTGGCCTGGGCTTCCGCTTCCAGGTTCTCCACAAGAACCTGCATATTGTGCTTGAGCTCCAGGCGTCTCAGTCGCACCATGGCAATCTTCTCCAGCTTGGTAGAAGAGCTGCCTGCCTTCTCTGCCTGTCGAAGAGCCTTCTGGTAAACATCATGGACGGTCCAAAAGGGATGAGACTGCTGATCGCAGATCTCGGCAATCGTGCAGAGCGTGGTGAAGGCCTCCGCGGGCACATCCTGGTTCACCTCGAACTCCTTCCACAGATACTCCAGAGCCTTGTCGTACTGCCCACTGTCGCGATAGGTCTGGTAGAGACTCACATAAATGGGCACCAGACTCTTGCCGCTCTCCTGATTTAGCTCCGCATTTTCCAGCATTTTTTGGTAATAAATCAAAGCCTTCTCGTAGTTCAACAGGTGGCAGCAGGCATCGCCCAGTTTCTCGTACAAAGACTTCAGTTTGGCATAGTCAACGGAGCTGGTGACCACAAGATCATCCAGGGTCTGACAGATCTTCACCACAATCCTGAGTTGCTTCTCAATGCTCGCCCGATCGTTCTCATCGGGTGTGTTCTTTTTGTAGGCCTTGGTGAGTATCTGCTTGCCGCTGGCAAAGTCGCCCGCTTTGATCAGGATCTCGGCCTTGGTGATTAGCGTTTCGCAGATCTTCTTCACCTTGTTGGGCAGCCGTTTGGCCACCTGCAAGGCCATGTTGCAGTAGCGCAAAGCAGCAGTGGCATCGTTCTTTTTGCAATTGTAGAGCAGGCTCATCGAAATGTAGCACAAATGGGTGAGATCCCAGAGCTCGTGGGTTTTACTGATTTTAATGGCTTTGTCGATGTACTCGATGGACTCTTGGAGCGCCTCCATGTGCTCTTTCACCACGCCAATGTTCAGGTAGCAGCGAGCTTGCATATCGATTTGTTCCAGCTTGGAAATCTGGCCAGAGAGGCTATAACAAATACATAAATAAGGTAAATACCAGTATTTTATTAGCAACTCACTCTTTGATAAGCAGTAGACTCCGCAGAAAACTCTTCTCCGCCTGCTTCAGCTGCTCCATGGCTCCCGAGGCGGAACTCTCGGCCAGAACCTGGCCATGCAACAGATGCACGCGACCCAAAGTGGCATAGGCCCGCTGCTCCTCTACCTGGTTCTTCAAGCGCTTGGCAATCTCTGCAAGGAAAATGTTTAAAACATGAATTTGGAACATCTTTCCAGGTGTTTCACCCACTCACTCAGGTAGTCATTGATGTGATCCTTGGCAGCGTCATAGTCACACAGCAGGGTCAACATCTCGCCCACCATCCTCTTGGCCTTGGCCGTCTCCAGTTCCTTGCCCATGCTGGCGTATATCTGCGCTTCCTGGACATACTCCTTGACCGCATCCCCATACTTGCCCTGCTGGTTGTAAAAATCTCCCAACTGATTGCAGCTGATCGCCACCTGCTCCCGGTTGCCGTCACTGCGCGCCTTCTCCTTGCGCTTCAGTAAGCGCCGCTCATCCATCACACGGGACACACAAAAACGGTGGACGGAATAATTAAACAAATATTTCACAAAAACATTGTTTTGCGGCGCGATCGGTGGAACAGTAAGACCGTTGCTTTAAAAGTGAATAATGCTAAAAATCCGGTAACTGGCCACACTGAAAAGGTGGATGCAACATCGATGGCAGCGATCGATAACTGCGCCACAAAAAGAAATCGAAACCATTTTTGATTTCCGGTTTAAAATGGTTGGTTTCAAATTATCCAACCGTTTTTCTGAAAATTACAATACTTGGTAAACGACAACAAAATAACAACTATATAAAATAGTTTTCTGTATAAATACTTGCGAGTGATTTTGTGTTCAAAATTAACGAAGTGACATCTTTCTATTTTCTTAATCATTTTATATTTATGTACATATTTGTTTGTTTTTTTAATATATACAATTTTAAAATTATTATATAATTAATTATAGATGCAAAAATGTTGGAAAACAGAGATTTTATTAATTTTCTGATCGATCCTTTGCTAGTTATTTTATATTCCTTTGCAACCTGACCTATGTGTTTACAAAGTATACCATCTTCGGTAAAATTGAATTATTGAAATGAATCAATAAATAAAAGATAGATAAACATTGCATGTTCGACTGAGCTATTGATTATGATAAAGAATATACATATATACTTTATAAGGTCGAAAATAATTTTATCGCAGCATTGCTAACTTCTTTCCTAAACTATACTAACCTGCAGAGTATAAAATCTTCATATGCCCAATGATAACCCAAACTAGTTATCAAATTTCAAGGGATAAAATTATCATTATTCTCCTGACGTCACATCAGGAGCTCTACAGACATTTACATTAGGAATGCAAAATTTTTAAGTGGCTGAAATAAAAGAATACTTTTCGGAAACCCAATTCGAATTCAAAACTCGTTATTTCTGCAGTTCTTTGGCCCGCTTTGTCTTTGTCGCGGTGCTCAGCATTTATGTTAACAAGAGTCGGTCGAAAACGGGTTAAGGAAAATTAATCAAAGCCCCTGCTTTAAGCCACGGTCGGAGCGCACTTGGCGACGTTTGGCACGTTGTCAGCTTGCTTGGCCAGCCGACCAGTTGGGTGTGTGTGTGTGTTTCTGAAATTGAATTAATTTTCGTACATTTTGCATTCGCATGAGTTTATTTTTATTTTATTATCTAAATCCTATTTATATGGCTTAAGATTAATAATGCATGAGTATTTTGCCATTATGATAAACTAGGAGTATTACATCGATCAATAACACATATTTACAAGTCTCGAAAATGTCACACTAATGGAAGGTCCTAATTCTTGTTCCAATTCAGGTAAACATCGAAGGCGCTTTTTGGCCTTACCGTTGTGGTTCTATTGTGGCCAAAATCGTAGGAAAGAACCGTTTTGGCTGCTGTTTTTATTTTGTTCTCCTGATATTTGGCATAGTATGGACTGCTCGTTGTGGTATTGCTTGGATTTGAGATTATTGTGCTGGTGGTTTTTGATTTTTGTGCGGGAGCTGTGGTGGTCTTGTCAAACTTGGCTTTGTATTTTTGGAAAAACGGATGATCAAAGGGATCTTTTGTGGTGACGCTCTTTTTCGTTGTTGGGGTCGAAGTGAATAGATATGGCCTTGGGGTGGTGCTTCCTTGACGAGTTGTGGGTACTGAGTAACGTGTGGGGGATCTTGTTGTTGCTGGCTGATAAGTTGTTGGTGTTCGACGAGTAGTTGTTGTTGAACGAATAGTTGGTGCTGGTCGTTTCGTGGTTTTATTTACTTCTATGTAATGATATGGAGATTTTGTTGTAGATCGAGGTGTGGTCTTGGTTGTGGAAATTGGGCGAGAGGTGGGTAAATAAACACCTGCATTACGGGTAGAATTCTTCGTTGTTGCAGTCGTGGAAATATAGCGATTAGTCGTAACTGGGCGTAGGGTTGTAATTGGTCTAGGAGTTGTAATTGGGCGAGTTGTGGGCTTGCTTATGGTTGTATAGCGAGTTGGAGTTGAAGGAGTTGTGTGTCTCGTTGTTGGTGAATATTGCCGGTGAGTTGAACTGTATCTTATTGTTGGGCGAGTTGTAGTTATGGGACGAGTGGTTGCACGCGTAGTTTGACGTGTGGTTGGACGAGTAGTTGGACGAGATGTAGGACGAGTAGTTGGACGAGTAGTCGGACGAGTAGTTGGACGAGTACTTGGACGAGTAGTTGGACGAGTAGTTGGACGAGTAGTTGGACGAGATGTAGATGTAGTTGGACGCACAGTTGTGCGAACACTTGGCCGAGTAGTTTTCCCAATTGTTGGATATATACTTGGCTTATTAGTTGTAATAATTCGATTAGGTGTGGGCTGTGCCGAGGCTTTCGTTGTGGCTGTGTAGCGGCTACCACTTCCCGTTATCGTGGGCTTAGTCGTCGTGGTTGTTTTTCCGACAGAAGTTTGCCATGACCATAACGGCAACTTAGTTGTTTTGGCCGTAGTTGAGACTGGTTTCTTTGTGGCTGCTGCTGTCAAGGGTCTCCCCGTGGTTGTTGTTACAGATGGCTTTGTAATACTTGTTGAACTTATGGGCTGCCTTGTACTTGACGTAGTCGGTGCTGCCGTAGATGTGGCCGTAAACTTAATCACCTCATTGCGGAAGCTGTCGCTGCTGACATAGGGTCTGTTGACCGTCTGAGGGGGCTTAGATGGGCTAGCGCTCGAGGGCTTTGGCTTGGGCTGGGGCTTGATGGGTGCTTGAGCCGGTACTATTGGTTTGCTAAGTAGACTTAGGAATGGATTCTGGGCATAGGAGAAACTGTCATGGGGCTTGGTCTCCTCGGCGGTGTGTGATGAGATGACAGAGTGTGGGATTGAGCCAGGGGCTTTTAGGAAGGGATTGTGATCGTAGCTGGGCTTTTGGGTGTAGGAAATGGCACTTGCTGGTGTGGGAGTAGCTTGAACTTTAACTAGATTGGGTGATGAAATCTTTTGACCCTGCAAGCTATTTAAAAAGGGGTTGGTGGCATAGAGTTTATTGCTGGGCGGCTCTTTGGGTGTTGAATTAATATTTGTAATTTTATTAGAAACTTTGGTGGGCGGCACATGACTTTGAGGAGCTTTAGCTGTTTGTAGATTCTGCAGGAATGGATTTCCCAAATAACCAGGACTAGCGGCAATCCTGTGCACTGGCTTCTCTGAATTTAATTGATGCGGCTTCACTTGAGGCTTTTCTCCATGTGGACTGATCTTATCCGCCTCTGCAATCTCATTTCCATCGAAGCAGTCGCTCAGCTGGGCCAAGCTCTGACCCCGGCAGTGTCCATTGTAAACGGTCCAGGCATTGAAGCCATCTCCTGAGAGACGAGTGTGCTCCTCATGGATTGTGCGTATGCACTGGACATCGTCGGAAATATCGGAATCCAGCAGGCGATCGCACTCGATATGGCAGGCCTTTCCACTTGTCTGGTCATGGGAGCACCAGTAAATATCGCTGATCTGGAATAGCCCGTGATCCTCGCTTCCATCTGAGTTGAGTCTGCCCACAGCTGCTGTATTGAACGAGGACTCGTGCTGGGCTATGCAAACCCAAGTGGGAATCTCTCGCATGGGTAACTTATGCTTATTGTACAGCTCCTTGGCCAGCTCACAACGATTGTAGATCTTTCCCTTGGGCTTCGGCGGAGCCTTCTTAACCAGCTCGTTGCCAGTTGCTGGCTTGATTCCTGCCTGCGTCACATCTTTGCCCTCAAAGCAGCTGGCTATGTCGGCTCGGGTTTTCTGTCTGCAGTGTCCATTGTAGACGGTCCAGGCTGTAAATCCGTCGCCCGAAATCCTGGTGTGCTCCTCGTGAATGGTTCGCACACACTTCACGTCATCCGAGATATCCGAGTCCAGCAGGCGATTGCAGTCAATGTGACAGCCCTTGCCGCCAGCTCCTTGGTCATGGGTGCACCAGTAGAGATCGCTGATCTGGAAGAGTCCGTGATCCGCACTCCCGTCTGCGTTCAAACGACCCACGGCTGCCGTATTGAACGAGGACTCATGCTCGGCGATGCACACCCAGGTGGCCAATTCCTGCATGGGAAACTTGTGTGAGAAATACAACTCTTGGGCTAATTCGCAGCGATTGTAAACTTTACCCGTGCGCGCTACTGTGTGTGCTGTGGTGTGATACTGTTGCTGATAGTGTGTCTGATAGTGTGCCTGATAGTGTGGCTGATACTGTGTTTGCTGCTTGTAATAAAAGGGATTGGCTGGGGTCTGACCCTTGAAGGCCACATTTATGGCATTGGGATGCTGCCTGGGGGGAGAGGGAGCAGCGGCAGTTACGGGAGCTACAGGAAGACGCGGCCGCAGGAAGGGATTCCCCTGATAGGCAGCCACATTGGCCACCTCACCTCGTTGGTGGTTCACTACTGTGGGAGCTGGTCGATAGTATTGATTCACGGCGGGCGCAGGACTCTGCTGCACCTGCACCTGTCCAAACTGATAGGCATAGCTGACCTTTGGCTTCACAGGACCTCCTCCGATGGCATTCGGATGATGATGATGAGCTGGCGGCTTGGCAAAGCAGGCAGCCACCTGCTCGTAGTGCTGATTGAGGCAGTTCCTCTTGTACACCGTCCAGGCGTTGAAGCCATCTCCAGAAATCTGGGTGTGCTCCTGGTGGATCCTCCTTATGCACTGCACATCATCAACTATGTTGGAGTCCAGAAACTGGTTGCAGGTGGCCTGACATCCTTTTCCTGGCCGCTGGTCATGGGTGCACCAGAAGAGATCGCTGATTTGAAAGAGTCCGTGATCTGCACTCCCATCGGCATTGAGGCGACCTACGGCCGCTGTGTTGAAGGAGGACTCATGCTGGGCTATGCACACCCAGGTGGGGATCTGCGGCATGGGCAGCTTATGCTGATAATACAGCTCCTGGGCCAGCTCACAGCGATTGTAGATTTTTCCCTGGACTTGCGTCTGAGGCACCTGATGGTAGCTATTCGCTGGCTGGTGATGATAGTAGTTCCCTGGCGCCTGTGCCACCTGATGGTAGCTGTTCACCTGAACCTGCTGGGGCTTCTGATAAGAAGCAGCCACCGAGAGTGCTGTGGAAACGCCAGCACATCCTGCCACATAGGAGGCCGCATCCTGGCGACAGTAGGCGCCATAGGCCTGCCAAGCAGTGAAGCCATCTCCGCTGATCCTCTGATGCTCCGCATAGATCTTCCTCACACACAGGACATCATCCGCTATGTCGTCGTCCCTCAGACTCGCACAGCTCAGACCACAACCCTTGCCCTGGCCCGGAGGCGAGCACCAGTAGACATCGCTGATCTGGAAGAGCCCATGCGATCCTCCGCCCAGACCCGTGCCGCCACCAAAGGCAGCCGTGTTTAGGTCACTCGAGTGCTGGGCAATGCACACCAAGGTGGCCACCTGGGCGGCAGGAAGTCCAAAGCGATGCTGCAGCGAATGGGCCAGCTCGCAGCGATCGAAGATCTTGGCCGAGGCCAGGAGCGGAAGCAGTAGTAGGATTACCTGCCAGCTCCACATCTTGCTCTGTTCTGACACTCCCGAGCCCGAAGCTTACACTCTTATATAGAACAAAGAGAGAGCACACTGAGAACACAGAACACAGAATAACTGGAGCAAGATCCTTAGGTCATTTAAAATTCAAATTTTTCAGCAGCCACTTTGAGCGCGTGTCGCTTTCAGCGATTTATATTCGCCGTTTTTTCGTGTGATTTTTTTTACAGCTGGACTGCGTGCGTTCGCGCGTTTCGTTGACGACTGAAATCTCCGGCGGTCGCATCTTCAGCCCAAAGTCAATTTGAATATGACGACGACGGCGACGACGACTGGACGGCCGAGCGAGACAAACTGGTTGCTGGGGGTCTCTGGGCTATTGTGGCTATTGCATAATTACGGCGGCTAAAAAAAAAAGGTTCTCCGCCTGCCACAGAACCCAAAAAATTAGAAGCGCGAATGGCCAGTAATCTGTTAAAAAAGAACATGTCGAATCGGCCATAAAAAATTGGCTAGAAAGTTCTGCATTTGCCGGGCCATTAGCTGCTCATTTGCCTGATGGAATTAATTTGAAATATTTATGGGACAGTCGCGGTTCCCCGACTCCCCCCAGCCGAGCGGTTTTCACGCGTTTTTAATCGCCTCGTAAGTCTCAATCAAGAAATCGACAGACGCGATTCGCGGCTGTCAATCAATCCGAGGCGGCCCCACCCCGCCACGACAGAGTGTCTCAATCCACATTGTAATGCAAACACCTTGGGTCGGCTTTGTTTACCGCCCGGGTGAAATATTTTGTTTGCATCTCTCGGACTTGGCCAATAGGTTAGTGATTTATTTTTGCCTTTAGTTTTTAGCCACCGTTGCCTAAGCATGAGATACAGCTTCGTGGATAGCCGATTTGATGCAATATAAACTGTGGTTTAATTGCCGCTTTTCGTGTGCAAATTGCTGGGCCGAAAAGCTGCTGCTGCTGATTGATTAATACCCGGGTTCCCTCATTAACTGGTCTTGAACTTGAGTCATTGCCAAAAAGACGGGAGGCGGTGGATGGACCAAGGCTTTAAGTATGCAAAGTGCTTTTTGTGGTTAGCATTGATTTTTGATTTAGAAGTCCAAAAGAAAGAAAAAACCTTAATGAAATGCGCAAGCAATTTTTTGTAGGAAACTTGACATTTTAGGCTTAGATATTTATTAGAATTTCCTAATTAAAGCCATGCGTTGGTCTGTAAATTCCTTTTCCCAGAATCATGGAGTCATAATTAAGCAGCATTTCGGAACTCTAAATGAATTCCTGAAATTTCTAGCATATTTTTTATTAAAAACACTCTAATCAAAGCCACAAGCAATTCCTTGAAACCCAAAAAATCATTAAGCTTCAAATTAAAACAACTTTTTTTTTCGTATGTAGTAGTTTTTCTTGTTTTTTTTTTGTTTCTTTTAGTAAACGCTAAATCACAATACAATAGAATCACATTTAAAAAATAAATTATATACAAATTCGTAGACAAAAACTGCGTGTGTGTGTTACATCCATAATTATCATAATAATATAACAAATACATTTATACAAAGCACTCTATAACAAATACACATCTATTGATAATATCTTACTTTACAGGGGGCTCCTCGACACGCCCCCTTTGATAGATATAGTACAGCAGACTTAAAACTGCCACGGCTAAGCCACCGCACAAGGTCCCCCAGTGGACGATATTGAGGGTTTTCAAGGAGTTGATCAACTTTTTCTTGAAGAAGGCCACCATTTCGCTGTTAAGTTGAATGCCCTGCATAGACAGGAGATATATTTAGAATTTAAAATTACAATTAATTAAGGATTAAATATAACTAACCTCCTCCACCCAGATGGCTGGCATCAGCACTGTGGGTAGGTTCTCTGTGATGGTTATACGATTTATGCTTTTGAGGAACATATTGAACTGAACCCGCTTGCCGCCTTGCAAAGGCGTGCCCGTCAGCTAATAACCCAAAATTATTTTCATTAAAAAACCTTCATTAAAATATAGCTATACTATATAACTTACCGACTGCACATCGACAAAAGTCTGATGCTTTTTGGCATCTGGCTTCAGGCCTCGTATCATTTTTCGGTACTCATTCGAGGCGCCCAGCATGTGAGGCAATGTCAAAATCACAGGGGCATCTATATCGAGATGACAATAAATGTATAGCTATATTAAAGACACATTAAATAAGGGGCTTCCTCATTAGCATAACCAGCTCCTTGCATTCCAGTTTAATTATTCTGTTTACATTGCTAAAAAAAATTCCAAAAAAAACAGAAAGAAAGAAACTGAATGCTGTGACCTTAGCTGGCTGTCGCTACTTACATTTAATTTAATTAAATTAATTGGAAAATATTAAACAAAAAGTCAGCCAAGTTGCGGAAGCTTCCTAAGCCTTCGTCACGTTTTCGCAGAACAACATTTATTTATTTATTTACTTAACTACTTGTGATGGCTTTGATGGGCGGCTGAACCAATTTGTAAGAATTTCCTCATCAGAGCCGGACAAAATATTTCAAATGCTCATTACTGAAACTGTTAACTCACGTTTCGACAATTAAACAAAAAGAGTATGACGAAAAGGAGGCATCGCCAAAAGAATCTCAAGATTGAAACGTGCGCGATCGGCAAACACCCAAACGAAAAAGTGTAGAAAAAAAAATATTATAATAAAAATCCAAGTTAATGCTTCAATTTGTAGAGCGTTCACAGCACTCGAGAACATCATAATGAAGAGCGGCTCATTATATCCCCTAGTTGAAGACAACACTTTTGATTTCAAATGCGCAATGCCCCCGGGGGAACTCTCAGCTTAGAATGCGAAGCAAAACGTTTTTGTTCCCCCGAACTCGAGTGTTAATTAAGAAATTAAACAATCGAAGAAGATCGAAGCCAGCCCACACACAATCGGAATCCGAATCTGACTCTTAATCAAAGTCCCAACGAAAAGCGATTGCAATTTGTCAGATATCTGGAAATCTTCCATTTAAAATTCGGCGATTTTTATATCATTCAAGTTCTAGTTTATGGCTGCCAGCACTTAATTAAACGTTGATTAGCTGCGACTCTTGATGCCTTCGGTTTGCACTTCTGCCAAGTGAGAGAATTTGCATGAAAAACACATTTAAATACAAACTAGAACTGGCACCATGATTACCAGTTGATTTATAAGTGCCTGCCTTATAATTACTGAGGTAATCGACCACGACCCGATGACAGAGACGAGGGTTTTAAGGTGTCTTTTGGGGTAGTTCGCCTCTTCGCTTGAATGTCCGGTTAATCGCCATAAAACAAACACAGCATAAAGAGGCTCATTTGCATAACAAAATACACACAAGAAAAAATGTCAAAAAATTATTCCAAATATTTCCGGTTTGCATGCCGATTTGATCACTAAAATTCTACAATATTGAAAGTTCATTGTTTGTTTGTCTCGTCTGTATTATTTTTAGTCGTGACCATATGGTAGCTATAGTATAGCATTGCCCCAATTAATGATAAAGTTTATATTGAATTGATCAAACCATCGTTAATATTTGAGTTAAGTGTCCACAAAATCACAAAATAACAAACAAACTGTCAAATACCTAAACTATCGGCATAAATAAAATGCTAATTAAATTAAATCAGTATTATTCCGGCCAAAAACAAAATGGAGATGAAGGTTTGGCCATCGTCGAATATAATTATCAATACTCTAACCAAACTTCAACGAAACGAACGCCCAGGGGCGTTTGAAGAATTGGAGTTATGGGAAGCAAGTATAGTTGATTTCTTTATATTTTTGAGATTCATTCATGTAATAGGAATCCCCCTAAATAGCAGAAATTAAATCTCATGCTCTCTAGTTTGCTACTTCTAATCTTTTATATTTCTTTTAAATACGTATTTTAAAAAAGGGAGTCTAGTATATAGAAAATTGTACTTTTCAATTTCCAATTATATTTAAGGCTTCTTTAGTTTAGAAAATCTAAGTTTCTGGCTGCCAGTCTTAGCTAATATACTTTTCCTTACTTTACTCTAAATATAAATACCGCCACACAGAAGTCTTTGATCTACTAAATTTATGGTAATTCATTTGAAATGCTAATTTGGTTAATACTGTGAAATAACATGAGGAACTAAAGATAAGCGGAAGATAACATAACTGAAGTATAAATATTTTCCGAATGTTTTGTCAGGTGTTAAGCTGGTTAAATGTAAAGTATTTAACATTTAGATGTGATAGATACATTTATAAAGTGGAAAACAATGGCGGAAAATTAGAGATAAACATCTGTCAGGTATTTAAGAAGTTTATATTATAGTTTAAGTGGGTTTAAAAGAAATAAATAAATTATTTCCTGGAAATTTTAGTAAATATTTCCAATTGAATCCAATTGAAATCACTTGAGTTTTAAAGAGCTCTAAAAATATTGCAGAAATATGTTTTTTAGACACCACTCCTAAATGGAGTTTTACTTTCCTTCCTATATTTGTATACTTCTATATCTCAACTCACCCAAACATGTGGTCAAATCCAATGCCCCTGCATATAGACATCCATTTTTGCGCTTGATCACATTCGCCAGCTTGTCCACACAGAAGCATTCGTTATCGTGTTCGGGTCCAATATCGTTTATAAAATTCTCGCCAATAGAGTACCTATAGCCAGGTATACCCTGATACTGGATATCCGATTGGTAGAACAGCTGCACCGATCTGCAGATATCCGCGCTAAAGATATACATGGAATCCCCTCGTTGACGGAAGGGTGGATAGGCAGAGGCATCTGTTCCATTGATCTGGTTGCACACAGAAGTCTCTCCCTCCGTGCTGGCATTGAGCCAAACCTGCAGGTTGTGCGAGTCGTCTAGCTTCTGGATCTCCAGGACCCTCATGGCATCGCCCTTGCCAGTGTGAACCTCGTAGACATCGTGACCAGAGCCATTTTTCTGGAGGAAAAAGATTACATTATTTAATACATTTTTGTAGTTTTTAAGATTTCTTTTATTATTGTACTTACATGTCCGAAGAAGGAAAAGGCCAGGCTGCCATCGCTTTGCTCTCGAATGGTCTTGGAGCCACTCTCCTTGATCTGATTGCAAATGGCCTTGGCTATGCCTTGGGGATTTATGCAGAAGCGCACGCCATCGAACAGATATTCCCTCACTGAAGTCTGGACAAACATGGAGCGGGGATCATTGAAGACAGCCTTCAAATTGGCATTCAAGTGGACCAAAAGCAAAGCCAAACCAGGATCATTCTCGGAGATTTGCAGGACAGACTGTAACAAAGGGAAAAATGTGGAGAATCGGGCAACGTTAATTGAGGAAGATACAGCCAGTTAGGTCTGAAGCCAGTAGAAAAGTCAAAGTATTTAAATAGTTAAAAGCATTAGCAGCAGGCGGAGCAGTTAGCCATAAATTAGTAGCAAAGCGCAAGCTCAATTTTGTTATTATTAATTATGTTTTTGCGTTTGATGTGTATCCGAGAAGTATGTGTGAAAATTGATGTTTCCAATCATTCGGTTTTCAGCTGCCGTTTCCATTGATTTCTCCTCGCCAGTGTCAGTTCGACTCGACAATTTATCAAAATATTTACATAGACGGAGAGAAGTCAGTTTCAACGAGCCACAGGCCCAAGGTGAATGCCAATCAAAAATTTTGCTGTTCTACAAGCAAACACTCTAGCGTCTGTCTGATGTGGATGATCTTGACTTTGGCAGTTTGAAGTTGAAGATTTCTGAAGTTCTGAGTTGAAGCTGCGCCGAATTGCAATCAATGATTATAATTAAACAGTTGCAAAGCTGTCAGCGGAGTAGGGAGGCTATTTAACTTACTTTGACACCATCGATAAGGCTGATCATGATGCCCTCCACCCAGCTGATGGGCGCTATAAGTTTTGGGGGTCGTTAAATTGGATTTATTAATTATACGGAATCGTTGATAACTCATTCAACAGAAATCTTATATGGTGTTAAGAGATGCCAGTTTTTGAGGGGAAAATAATTTATTACTTGGGTTTTATCTTGCATATTGATATACAAACATGTTTTCTTGCATTGAAAGGTCTCTATAACTAATCGTTGTTGTCATTTATACCAGTAAATATATAAATATCAGTCTTTGAAATCATTAAAATCAATAATTTGATAATTTTACTTGATTTTAAAACATTTTAATTATTATTTTTCGAAACCCCTTACGTTAACTGAATTTAAAAACTCTTCCCTTCCAATTCTTGACCTAACTTAATCCCAGAAAAATTGTGCTGCCTGAATCGTTGGCAATAAATCAGCAATAAAAAATATCATCAACTTAATTGCTTATAAACACCCTATCCAAAAGATACAAGCAATGACGCACCTCTGGGGTAAAATCATAATTAATAAACAATAAAGGGTAACCCGGCCGAAATAAAAGGAATAATAATAAATTGGTTGAAACCGCTGGCCCAAAAAGCAGAACAAAGACAAACAGAGCTTTGTTTGTTCCATCGGAAAATCGTAAAAAGCCATTACCATTAAGTTAAATCTACCAAGGCATGCCAGTGAGTAAATCTTTGCACAGACAAAGCCGATGCAATAGAGATACAGATAAAGATACTATTACAGATAGACCGTCACCGATTCGGGGGCTACTCTCCATTAAATTAGTAGTGGATAAAATTACTTTACGTTTCCCTCGAATACGTTCCATCAATCGTTTAAGGACTCGCACGCCAGGAGTTTGATTCAATCGGGAGTTAAGCCGATTGGCAAAACCCTGAAATATATCTGTGATTTCTCTTTCGAATACTTGTAAGAAGGCCTGTAAATTGATTATTGAAATGGTTTAGATCGATCTTTTTCAAAACTTATAGCAATTTATATATGTTTTTGTTTACTCTAAGTTCTTACTCACATTCATGTGCATGTTGAGGGCCACTATGCGATCGTCTTGGGTGTAGGGAGCGGAGGCATCTGCATCAAAGTCAAAGTGCACATTTTGTACATAGGAGATTTTAGAGCCATCCCTGGAGAAATGCTTCACTTTCTTCTGCCTGAACTGCCTGTGGTTATTTTAAAATTTTATTAAATATATTTTTTTGATATTAGAGATTGTTTATTTGGACTTACTTGTAAACGTAGGGTCCTATTTCTTCGACTATGGGTATGGCACCTTGTTGTATCCTATCCGGATTGGTCACATTGAATATGTAGACTTTGAAGTTCAAAGGCTGAGGCAGATTCACAAAGCGTTTATATTGTTCCGATCCATCGGCTATGATAACGCTCTGAGGATAGAATAATATAAGAAATTAATAATTCAATCAAATCTTCTGTGCAACTACTTTTAATAAAATAAATACGTAAGAATAAATATTCTTTTAATTTTTACAAACGTATTTAAACCTTCTTAACCTCGACTTAAGTCATTTTCAATATACTTAATCCCCTAAGCCGACTGCCTGACTAATTCTAATTGATTTAATAAGAGTTTATGTATTTTTTATAATGCTCCACTTCAACAGCTTGCAACAGGTTTAGGGCTTTTATTTAGTTGTCAGCGCCCTATGCTAAATTATAATTATCTTTATCGAACCACACTTTAAGGTTGTTTATCACACGACTCAGTCACATATTTATGACATTTAATGACGCCGTGGAGGTAATAAAAATCAAATCAAAAATATCAAACAGAGCTTAATCTAAACCAGTTTTCGTTTAAAGAAAATATTGAACTTCTATTGTTTTTTTCCGCACCAATTATAATTGATAATTATCAACAGACTGCTGAGATCAATGACCAACAGAAATATTTGCATTGATTTAAAATTTTATCAAAACAAATATATTAATTCAGTTGTGATTCTGTGTCTTGCCCCCCAAAATAAAATCTCCAGTTAACCTTCCATTTCTAATTTTTACAACTCATTAGCCAGACAAAATATTTACGAGTACGATTCACAGAGATAAATAAATTGGCAAAACATAAAAAGGCCCACCGAAAGGCATAAATAAAGGCAGAAAACAAGTTCAAAACATGACCAGCAGTATAATTTTACGGTCTGGCCCCTCGCACTTGATACAATTGAAGAATTGTCAAAAAAAAAAATAAACACACACAAATCTGGGTATATAGTTTTGTATGACTAAGGCAGATTTCAAGGTCAATGCACACGCGGCTCAGCATATCGAAGAGCATACAAAACGTTTGATTAACCTCAAGAGCCCAAGAGAGGCTTCGACGGTGGCGACTGACAATGGCCCGATATTCATTCAGAAAGAAATACGAATAATTGTTGCGAAATAGAGCGGTTTTTTGGCAAAGCGACAAGCCCGAAGCCCAGCCTGAACGTGTACACAATTTGAATGTTGCGGCGGCTTGAAATTTGGTCAAGAATGTGATGGGTCAAAGGGGCGTATGCGTAACAATCTAGGCTAAATAGGGGGGATGATTATGAAAAAGATAGCCATGTAGTCATAAGTCATACCATAAGTCATAGATATTAGTAACAAATCTTCCTTAGAATTGTGGTAAATAAATCTCTAATAATAAATACCTAAAATAAAGTCTTAGAGTGTGGCTTTTGCCTCTGGTTGGCATTGCTTTCGGGCCAAATTGCATAACCACATTGATTGACCATCGAATCAACTTCAATTGCTTTGAATTTCAATTTCAATTCATGGCGCGTTCGCTCCTCCGACTTTTGTCTTTTTTTTTTTGGCGCCTGCATTTGAATTCCAAATAGAAATGGTTTATGTGCAAGGGACGGGACCACCTTCAAGTTGAAGGCCCCACCACTTCGAGGGTCGGGTCTGCAGACCATTCTAGATCCGATCTCAAAATGCGAACACACACGGAAGTTCATTGCTAACTATATGGCTCGTAAAAAGAGTCTTTTTCGGTTTTGGTTTTGCGGCTGAGTTATGGGTGGCAAACAAAGTTCCAGGGGCAAGCCAAAAAGCCACAAAAAAAAAAGGGCTATTAACTAAACTTGGCTACAACAATTAAAAAAGAGCAAACACGGCCGCAACAAAAAGATTAGAGTTTCTGTTTGCATTCTAATTACAATAAAAAACCACAGACGCGGTTCAAAGTCAACTCAAGTACTTCTAGTTGCCTTGGCAATGAGCACCGAAGATGTCACGCCCGATTCAGTGAGCGTGTGCCTAGCGATGGGAGCGTTATTCTCTAGGCTGCAGCGTGACTTGGTGGAAACTGCCCAAAGCTAGGTACTACTACTATTACCTCGAAGTTTAAGTGCCGAAAAAGAATCAAGTTTTGGGCTTAATTTGGAGCCAAGGATTGCAGGCGGCACTGAGCTGAGTGAATTTTGGGATTTGATGTTTTTTAAACAAGGTAATGTATGTTTATTTAAACTTTGTTTATTTATTTATAATAAAAGGTGTATTTAATATAATCTTCTTAGAGGTTTTAGGGAATTTTTAATATTTTTTGGTAGCTATAAAATTTATTTTTAAAGCCAAAACAAATCAAAACTGTTGACAAGTTCTCATATATTTCCAAAGTTCAAAAATATATAATTTATATATCATACCATAATTTTTGTACATCTACCCTGAATTCAATTTAATTAAAATTTATATAGCTCTCAGTCTTAGTCTCACAACCGTTAAATAAAATATGATGGGATCAAGCTTGGCATGCTCTTCCTTAACCTTTGTCCCCTCATTGTAGTTTCGCAGGCCCAATGTCACGCATTTCAACTGGGTCGTAAATAAAATGCGTCGAAGGACAAGAACATGCATCGTAATTCAAGTATTTGCTTTTGGCTCTAATGGCTTGGAAAACCCAATAATAATAAAGTGCATTTGTCTAGCAAATTAATTCGCATTGCTCATGGCATTTCAATTGCATTTGCATTTGGCATTCGTTGGAAGCGTGACCCAAGGGAGCGATTGTGTTTTCGCTTTCGAGCCTCTGGGACAACATCTATGTAATTAGTTCATGTCATATTGGGATATTATATATATATATAATAGAATATACGATATGCGATGCTATTGCATTTGTTTGAACAGCAATTACACTTGTTACAGAGCGCGGAAAGCAATGGTTTGGGGTCTGACAGCTGCCCTGCGATGTCATTACGGATAAGGTGGATAATGTCGGGTTGTCGTGACACACCCACACTCTATATAGTAACTATAGTTTATAGATCTGTATATTACGATTCTGTAGGCCCTTGAATAACCCTGGCGGAGAGGTAAAGGGTCAGCCACATCAGGTAATTAAGGAAATTATAAAGAAAACCACTTAATTATGCAGATTTTCATTTCAAGCAAACCTGCTTTTCATTCTATTATTTAAGTGAGGTAGCTAAACTACCACTTTAATTACTTCTGATTCATTACGTTGTACTCTGAACTTTCTTTGACTCATCATGACTCTGGCTAACTTTAATTCTATTTACCTTTTCGCTTTGCCACTTTTTTTCAGTCAGCAAATAGTCAACAATAGAATCATTTTTTTGCCCCTTTGTTTGCTCAGTGAGAGAAAATATCTGTGCGTACCTGGGAATCTAAATATTTGAGTACACGAAACTTTGACAAGTTTCTAATGAAAGGTGAGTTTTGTGAGCTTAAAAAAAGAGTCATATGTAAAGATGAGGGGTTTAGGAGAATAGTTAAAAACTGTTTAGGGATTTTGAACAATAAATAAAGAACTATGAGTCATAGGAAAATAATAATCTGTGTATTAACAGAAAAAAATATATATCTTTTGGTTAAAAAAATATATTATTGCTTATAGAAATGGTTGATTCTTAATTCAGAATATGATTAAATCTTGTAATATTTATTATTAACTTATAGTTTCTTGGCTGGCACGCTACAATTACCTAATCTATGCTTTTAAATATTATAAAAAATAATAAAAAGGCTCTCTTAACTTGAAAACATTCAAAGATATTTATAAATATTTCCTTGTTGACTAAAATTACATATTTTTATTTACTTTCCCCCCGCTATATTGCATTGCAGACAACCTGGCAGTGGTATTCGGAACAAGGCCTTTGTGTGTTGATTTGAAAATCTTGCAATTTCGTATGATTCCACTTGACCCAACCACTCACTCACCTGTTCCACCTTCTTGTGCACCATGCTGGGAAAGAGAACCCAGCCGCAGTAGCCGCCCAAGGCGGACACACAGACGCCCAGGGCGCTGACGATGAGGGACCAGTGAAGCATCTTCTCGGAGATCGAAGGGATTGGAATCTACCAAGACGAGATGAGACCCATTTATCGGGTTCCTCTCTCTCTTCTATCGGCCCCAAAACGCCGGCAACAGGTATATAGTATTTGATTTTATTTTGATGTATATTTTTTACGTTTCTTTTTCGATCAAGCGGAGCTTTGGCCTGACCTACGTCAAGAGAGAGAGAGAGCCGCTCGGCTCGGTTTATGTTTTTTTAGGTGTCGATCTCGTTGTTGGGTGCCGAAACAAAGCGCACTATTTATACGATACCCGTTTTTTTCGGTGGGGGCTTTTATATTTGTGTGTTTGTTATATATAATTTTGAAATAAACAAGTTGCCGAATGCGATGCGACGCCGTCTTTTACTATATCTTATTATGTCCCTTATAGTAGGAGCCACAGCTTTACACGCGTATATGTGCAAGTTGAAAAAATATGAAAACGGGTTTTGGCCGCTGGCTTGTGTTGCAGTGAAAGCTTTTTTCTGCCATCAGCTGGTATAATTAAAATATTTTTGTTAATTTGTTATTTGGCTCTTTGCTTAATTGGGTCGAGTCACAAATTCACACGCGTCCGAAAAGGAATAGCTTTTTCGCTCTTCTCCATTGAGGCTCCACCGCCCAAATGACACCTGATGGTTAATTGTGCTGCATATTTATTCGATTCTCGGTTAGCGTAAGCCAACTTGGCCGGGATATAGTCGTGGCCTAATAGTGGGTGGCTTTCCCGTGGCGATTAAATCAGAGGTGCACATTCAAATTAATGGCGGCACGCGAACGAGCGGGGGGGAAAATGGGGGAAAACTTCCGGCGCAAAGCGGGTGAAGTGAATCAGCAGAATTAAATAAAATAAAAACACGAATTTCCAGCGTACTTGAGTAATTGAGTTGTAATTGCAATTTTATGGGGGACTCCGTTTTGTATTTTTCCGCGACCACCGGAGATCTTTTCAGTGAGCAACGACGCACCGCTCTGAACAACCGCTGACGACTGGCGGCAGGGTTCAGGCCAAGCTGCGATGACAATGCTGTGACTTATGGCTTTCGGCAGTCACTATGTAGGTTGTAGTTGTAGTTGTCAGTCTTGGCCAAAAGCCCTAAGCCACCGCCGATCGCCACTGAGAGCGGCCGAAGAGCGCATGCGCAACGCTCGCTGAGCTTGTAGAGGGCTTTTTTTTTAGCGTTTTCAGTTAGTTAGTTGCTCGACTTTTTTCTCTGCTTTTGTAATATTTCCTTACATCTTTATATTTCACTTAAATTATGGATGAACTCATTAGCAAATTAGTGCAAGTTTGCAAGTTTTTTGTCTTGCCACTTTTTCGCTAAATTTGTTTTGGCCAAATTGGTGGCTCCATTTGGTTAGAGAGTGGGGGAGGTGGCAATGATGACCCTGGAGAGGGTTCCTATTAATTTCCCGGCCTTATCTGGCATCGAATAGTGCTAATGATACACTCTGTTTAATTGCTGGAAATCGGTTATAGATTTACATTAGGGTCATAAATGAGCAGCCTTTGATTGCTTGGGGAGGTCTCAAAAGGGTAAAGCCATTATGGCTAATATTCCATTTTATAAAGAAGCTATCCGTCGACTCATTTTGACAGGAATAAGGGTATTTAAATGTCAAGGTGGGAGATGTTTTTTAAAAAAGTAGTGAGAAAAGATTAAATACATTTAAATATTAATAAAACTTGAATAGTTTCTGTTAAAATTGTTTTTTTTTAGTCTATAATTAATTCTTTATTTAAAATAAATATAGAAAAAATATGTCATAAGAAATTAGATCTTTAATCGAGTCCTTGTTTTATGTTCCTTATTCTTTCCTTATAATGACAATTAGTAATTTCTAAAGAGAGACTGATTTTATTTATACAAAAAATTACACTAAATATTTATCCCTATTTACTAAATTTCCCCTAAATAATACAACCCCCTTTCCCACTTAAATCTCTTCAAAAATAAATTTTCTCTCTTCCCAAAACATTTACCTCCCAAAACCACTCTTCAAGTGTCTCTTTAAAGCCTCTCTTTTTTGTCTTGGCTGAAGCTCGCGTGGGTGCAATTCCCTTACCTGCGGCTGCCACTATTTTTTTTTTGGGCAAACGCATTAACAGGTTTTTTGGAGTCTTCTGTGCGTGCCGTGAAATTTATATGTAAAAACTTGTAAGACAACGGCAACGAAAACAAAAACAATAGCGATTGGATCGAGCTGCGGGTGAAGCTTTTGTTGAACTTGACACGATTGTTGTCCATTCAGTTTTCGATGGTCTGTTTTTTGTTGCTGTCGTTCTTCGCATAAATTGCCTTTCGTTGCGGATATTTTCAGGCGCTTTTGTTGTCTCGAATATTGTGCAAAAAATGTAAAGCTTTAAACAAACACAACAAAAAATAAATATGTAAAGACTTTAAGTGTTTGAATTATAGAAAAGAAGAGTTGAGAGTATTCCAGAAATTAATTGGGAATATTGTTTACTGAACCAGTTTTTTAATCACAGATTCAAATACTTGTCCTATATTTCCCCCATTTATCACTTAAGCAAAGACATTTACTCTCCTTACCCCAATTATGCATTTAAATACCTGTAACACTTTTCCCCAAACTAAAACGATTCCGTTGCCAATTTCTTTGCTTGCCATGCGACTCGACACTCATTTCAATTTCTTTGCTACATTTCTCTTAATTATTTTGTAGTGCGATCCACATTTAGCCTAGTTTTTCAAGAAGTCTCCCCAACTCGGGGGAACCCGCTAGGGACTCGCTCTCCATTTGCGTGCAGCATGTGGATATAGTAATTTAAATATTTATTGCATTTTTTTGCATTTGCAGGCAACACTTGAGGCACAAACAACCCACCCTGCCGGCCCGAAACTCTTGCCTTTGTCTGACCTCAAAATTAAATTCAAATCTCGGGCAAATGGCAAGACTTGGCAGAAAGGCTGTTTTGTTTCTTTGTATACCCTGACGGGTTATTAGAATTCTAGGCAGAAGTTAAACACTAAAGAAGAGTAGTTTTTTGATTTTTGAGAATAAATTCACGAAAGATTAGGTTTACGTTTTTATTCAAGTGATCTCAGCTTAAGACTAAATTCTTGTGACAAAAATATTTCTTGTGCTGCCCTTTATTTCCAAAGAGATCGCCCTCTTGGGACATTGGTTGTACATAAGTTTGGAAGCGAGATTGCCTGCTTGGGATATTGTTTGTATACAATAATTTGATAGTATGAGTGCCACTCATAGAATGGTATGTAGTGATTCTAATAATTGTTTATGTTATCGAAGAGCGACATCGCCTGCTCTGGATGTGGATTTCTTACATTGGTTCAGCGTTGGATCGCCTACGCGGCATATTCTTATTTCTTATTGACATATTCACATATTCAGCTCTGTTCCAAGAAATAAGAATATATTTATATATATATTTATAAAACATTATTTTTATTTAAATCTTATTATTTTATTTGTAAGTTTTATTATTAATTATAGTATTCTATAAATATAGAACATTTTAATGGAATTTAATAGAGTATACAATTTATTAAAAATGCTTATTTGTTTAATATAGAATTTATATAAATAATTTTTCAACATTACAATTTCTGTAAATTAAATTTTAAACTAATTTTATTTTCACGGAATGGATCAAAGAAAGGCTTTATCTTTTACTTATTTTTGTAATACATATTTACCAATTGTTTCTATATTTTTACTATGTACATTTACATTTTTGTTTGAAATTTACCCATTTATTTACCCATTAATTTAAATTCCATTCTTAGTAAGCACATCGCTTAAAGTACATTGCTATTAATCTGGGTACAATTTCCTGGCCATCACTGGGCGTACGTGCATATGTTCAATGGAGTGATATGAGAAACTTCACACGACAATGTAAGGCAAAAAGGAACAATCAGCGAACACGAACTGGATTCATGCACTTGCACCCTCCGGTGCCTCCTCCTTCTCATCCGTTTCCGCTCGAGGCAAATCCTTTGCATCGATGGCGTGCCTAGGCAATCGCAATTTATAGATAATTTGATACGAGCCGTCAGACAGTCGCTCAGCGAAAGAGTCGGCTCCAAAGTGGCACAAGGACAAGTCGGGGCGGTGGATTGTGGGTGGGTGGGTTGCTTTCTGGTGGCTTCGGAATGCATTTCTAACGAATTTTCATTAGCCACCAAATTGCAAATGAATATTTGAATGCTCTGGGGGTTACTGGGGCGTATGCGTAATTCGTTCTCACGTTCCACATACGACCCCAAAAACACTGGAATGCACAAGAACAAAAGAAGGGAGGCTTAACTGCAGCGGAAAAATGCGAAAAAATGCAATTAAATGGATTAAGCGAGAGGGAAGAGGCCAGAGAGTCAAATGAGGGCAACGTGAAGAAGGTTCCTCGGATTCTAGCCCTTTTCCGAGCAGTTTCCTCGCCTTTTTCTCATCGTCTGTGTTTGTTTGGCCAACAACAAACCAAAGGCAGTCACAACAGTCTAAGGGAGGCTCAAAAGGGAAGCAGCGGGTGTAGGGGTAAAGCGGGCTCTAGGACACATACGAGGATTCAGGCACTCGACCGCTTATCGTCAACTGTCATCGTCTGCCAGTCTCTGAACCCTAGAGCACTGGGAAAAAATCAACTAAGGTTAAGGAAACTATTTCAATCTAAAAGAAAGACTTATTCAGTAAACTTGACAAATTAATTCATATTTTTAATTTATATATAAATATTTTTTTCAATTATTTCTGTATTACTGAAACTCTGTTATCTTTTTCGCCGTGTCCTGCCTCTCTAAGGTGCACGGACATCACTCTGTTTTGTTGCAAATGTGAGCGACCGATTGATGAGCATGTGACGTTTCGTCCTGGCCCTTGCAACACCCATGTCCATCCGTCTATATGTCTTTATGGCTCTCTGCCTATATGTATGTCTGTCTATCTGACTTACCGTCAGCTTTTCCTGGCTGAAAGTGTGTCAAATAAAGTGCTAAAAGATTTATGCCCTGCACCTCCTTTTCCAGCTGGGTCGCTCTTTCTGCCAGGAGTACTTCCCCCTGTGCCTCCGCCTCCACCTCTGGCTCGTTCTCACTCTCTCTCTCTCTCTGTGTGTGTCTCGTCCTGTCTATTGCTCTCAATAAGTGGCACAAAGGACATGCGGCAAGCGCTCACCGCAGGTTTAAGTGTCTCTAACTACCAGACAGACAGGACATCTAACTGGATATTTTTCCTATGGGCCAGCCTAGCTCTTGGGTGTGTGCTGTTGTTGTTCCTTTGCTGCAGTTTTTCAGTGGTTTTGCCCAGCTTCTGCTGGGCTGCTGTTGATGTCCTTTCGGCCCAGACCAATTTTCGGGCTCACAATTCCGGTTTACCATTTCATCTCTTGATTTCTTTCAGTTGATTATACTCATGAATAAGGCAAGGAGTCTAATGAAGTGCAGGTTTGTTATATACTATGGCTTCAGTTTATGAATAACTTGAGGTTTATAAAGGGAACTAGGATAATGGAATGGGGTTTCAGATATAACAAAAGATTCCTATTTAAAAATTAAAGCTTAGTATAAAGTATGCTTCTTCGGATTCAACAAGGGAATAGGTTAATTTCAAGAATCTTAAAATAATAGGGTAAGGTGGGGTAAAGCCGACAGTGTGGGTAAACCCGACCTCCCTCTGTTTTCGAAAATCGGAAGCACTACGCAAAATAATATTAGTGTTGTCGTGTAGAGCATCGAAAACAATGTAAATGGTGGTATGACAGCATTTTATTAGTCAACATTGAGATGGTCAAACGACAACAAGTTTGTTTTCACAATTTTGAATTTCATTTTTGTGCATAATTAACTGCAGGATATTTCTTTTTGTCAAAGTTATCGCATGAAAAGGTAAGTGGATTTAGATTCTTTGAATAAAGTCCTACAAAGTGCATATAAGTTTGGTTCATTTTTTTTCATAATTTCTTTTTTAATTGCGTTTTTATGAAAAATTACGTGGTGGGGCAAATCCGACCTCTAAATAGTGGGGTAAATCCTGCCGCAAAAAATCCAAAAAAAACAACAATCACACCAAAACCATCAACATCGCAGCCAATCAAACGTTCAACTCGAACCAAAAAACGCCAGCAAGCTATTTGAGCAGCGAATCAGATGATATTGATGAATTATTTTGCTATTTTAATTTTTTTAATTCTATTATCTTTTATTATCATTATATAACATAACATTGATTGATTTATCATTGCAAAACCTATATTTAGGTTATATCTGTACTAAATCAACCAAAAACATAGGCGGTCGGGTTTACCCCATCATTTTTGAACATAGCAAAAATGAACTTTTTCGTAAAACGCTTGTATCTCAAAACTTTTCAAAGGTATGAATAAAATGCTATGCTATAGAAAGTTGCGCAAAAGTCTAACCTTTAATTTGGTATATATAACGACTTGATCCGATGTAAAATAAGCATTTTATAGCCAAAACCATTTACTAGGTCGGCTTTACCCCACCTTACCCTATATAAATACTTACTAGTCTAGAATATTCTCATCTATCTGAATTTATTCTCATCTGAAATCCTCCATCTTCACATGATTTAAATTCCCCCCTAAACCGGACTTTAACAAGCCAAAAAATTGAATTGATTTAGCTGGCGTTTTCCAGGCACGCAGCCTTCGCACAGCTGACAGTAATGCCGCCAAATGAATTATTGCGCACTAAGATTTCGCCACCTAGCCATCTCCCGCGCCCATACACCCCCACTCGGCTGCAGGACATCCTCCCAGCCCAGTTCCGCCCCCTTTTTGGTGTCCTTCGCCGCTGCAGTTGAGGGCCACGCTTGAAGGGACTGCAAAAAAAACAACAAAAAGTAAAAAAACATGAAATAAAAACGCTGCAGAGACGCTGGAGGCCAAAGCGAAATCAGGCGAACAACTAATGACAATAAGGCGCGAACTGGGAAAATCCCTTCCTCCCCCGCCCTAAAACAAAAAACAAGAAATATCACGCATACGCCGCGTTGCCTGAGGTTGCTAACAAAAATATCACGCATACGCCGCCGTGCAGCAGCGAAATCAAAACACAAACCCAAATCCAGTGACTGCATCGGGTTTTCCTGAGCGCGTGACCAAAACAGAGAGAAAGGGCCAGAGACTCTCTCTCAGCGAGACAGAGAGAGAGAGAGAGAGAGCGCAGCGAGAGAGTGGCTTTCTCACGAAGGAGTTTCCCCCACATCATCATCGTCATCATGATGAGCATAAGTGCGACGTCGTGTGCCAGTTGGGAAATTGCATTTTCCCTCAGTTCTGTTTCAGTTTCGAGTCCGTGCAGTCGTGTTGGCCGGAGTGAAAATTCGCCAGGAAAATTTGCAGAAGTAGAGAAAGTAGAAAATAGAAATAGAGAAAAGTAAATAAGCAAACAAGTGCAGTCATTTTTCGGGAGAGGGAGATTAATCCCCCAGACCTAGCATAGATACCTACATTTTTTGGTGGACAAAACAAACACACAACTAGCGGAGAGTGCTGCTGGTGCTGGAGAACTAAGGCACAGCGACTTGACAACCAACAACCAAGCAACCATGTCGACGCTACCCTTCCTCCTGAGCGTCGCCGACGAGCTGGACAACATCCATTCGCAGTCCTACATGGACGACTTTGGACTGGGCTTCCATCCGCACCGCCAGTACTATCGCACCCCGACCATCCAGCTGTCCCTGCCGGCCAGCACGGACTGGACGGGTCGGGACTGGTCCCAGGCAACAGGCAGGCACACTCGCTACCGTAGCTACAAGTTTTACGATGACTCCCAGAACAATCTGGAGGAGGAGGAGCAGGCGGAAGAGCAGCAGCAGCAGCAGCCTTTGCCCGAGGAGCAGGTGGTGCTACCGCAGGAGCTGCGTCAGCACCAACAGGACAACCAACAGATGCAAATTTCCGAGGTCCAATCCTCGAATGCCACCACTGCCACCACTCGCAAGGGCCTGGGCATGGTCAACTCCCACTCGCACGATGTGGGCGTGGGCGGCTTGGGCCTGAATCTCAAGTCCGGCGAGGAGGAGGATGACGAGAACATTGATCGCACCGTTCGCATGTACAATCTGTCCAAGAAGTGCTGCAAGAACTACTATCGTCATGCTTTGGAGACCGGACCGGGGGCCAGTGGCCGGGTCAAGTGCAGCAATCTGCGCTCCGAGAGCCACAAATCCAGCTCCAGCTCCGAGGAGAGCCTGCAGAAGATACCCTCGCCGATAGAGTTCCTCACCTGTTTCCTGGTGAAGAAGTCGCGCACCCCGAAGAGCTCCTCCGGAGCGGGCCAGCAGCTGAAGAAGACATAGAACACGGCCCGGCTGCTGCCGGCAGCAGCGATGTCCGCCAGGACCTCCACGCTTAGCTCCACGGCCACCAGCGGTGCCGTGACGAGCGCCAGCATGGACACGGAGACGGCGACATCGAAGCGGCGCAGCAACTGCTTCTGAATGTTGGCCGGAGTCGGCGTCGTGTGTGGCCAGGCCTGGAGCTGGCTGCAGCGCTGCGGGGAACTGCCCAGCTCGGAGCCCACGTCGCTGCCAGCCACACGTCTCGGTCGCATTGCCTACTAGGCCCACTTGTCCGACTCCGAATCTTGTCCAGAGGTGGCATAAACCAAAGGGGGGAATACGCTTTGGGTGATTTTTTTTTTTGTGAGTTATTGAGTTGGATGAACCTTTTGGGTTATCCTTTGGCTTGAATATGGAAAATAAAGGAATTTATCAAAGGGATTTTGTAAGGATAGGGATTTTGATTTGCACTGGCAGGAAATTTGTGAAATTAAGAAGCCTTGTAATCAAGATATTTATGAGGCTTTTAAAGCTAGTGTTCTTTTTTATGGAGATTATTTTTAAAGGACATTTAAATATAAATCAAATTTCACTTGTAAAAGTGTTGCTGTTGTGGAACTACTACAAATTTCATTTAAAAACCCATTTAAAAATACAATTTCCCAGTGCAAACTTAACCAGGCCAAAAGCAAATTGAAGCTTAAAGCAAAGAATAATAAATATTTCCAAGAACTATACGAGTACGTGTATTAATAATGTAAAAAATAAACAACAACTATTAAGCCAACACCGAAAAATTTTTGCAACCAAAACACACACAATTTTTAAAGCCAGATTTATACTAAAAAAAAAATGAAACTTAAATGAAACCAAGAATTTGTTAAGCAAACGTTTTTTATACAATTTTTTGATACCAAGCAAAAGATATAACTTATATATGGATATTATATTAATACTGGGAATGTTTGATTAAATCAAGTAACCAAAGAAAGGAGAAGGGAGAATCGAGTTGAACTAAAGCCTTTGAAGCACCACAGTTTTGATTTGATAATTTGACACAAGAGAAACTTTTATAATGTATAATTTTACAATGAAAATGTTCCTTCCTATTAAGCAGTTTTAAAGGATATAAAAATCTTTCAGGGAAATTATTTTTCAGACACACTATTTTATGCTTTCATTACAGATTTTTTAAAATTAAACTTCAAGGTATTGGTTCAGCTGGAAGCTCTTCACAATTTTATACAAGCTGTTAGCTGTTTTAAGCCAAATAAATTGCGGGCTAATTCAATAGGTCTTCTGACACACACACACTTACACTTACACTATGACTATACACAGCAATACCAGTGCAATGCCAATGTTTCATTTTCACACAAACACGGGAAACTTTTATTTTCCCCTATTTTTCCTGTACTAAAAGCCCAGCTAACTGAAAAATGTTGAACAAAATACAAAAAAAAAATGTAGCAGGAAAGCTGGCGGAACTTTTCCGCAATGTCGGCAAGTGTTTGGGCCAGAGAAACGGGCGGGGGCGCGCCCCATGAAAAGTGAAACATGTTTTCAATTTCCTTTTTTCGGGGGACTGTAAACAAGTCAATAGCGAACTACGGCTAAGGACAAACACACAGAAGACCTTGGTCCCAATTTCAAATTAGTGAAAAAGCAAAACCCAAACAGAAACGAAAACAGAAAACAGATTTTGTAGGAGAATTGCAAATGGAAAACATTTTTGGGGCTTGAGTATAGATAAACGCTGGAACACAGATATATCAGAATAAAAATATATATTTATAGTTTTGTAGTCAGATATTCTCCTCGACAAACCAAAAATATTTGCGTGTTCTAAATGTATTCTAAATGTTAAAAACACAAACCAAATCCGAAGGCAAGAAAAATATTTCAAAAGTATTTACAACTAATCAAGAACAAGTTTAGCCAGAACAGAGAACATTTTATATATATATGTATACTATATGTGTAGCCACACTGTTTGCACCCTTCAGAGTTTAGAAACAACATTAAATAAATACGCAGAATGTAACCAAGTGTATCGCAAAAACTCATAGCTTTATAAATTCAAAAATCAAGGTCAGCATCAAATCTCTCGGATAAATGTAATACTTAAGAGCTCCAAACCAAAACCCCCACAAATATGCCACAAAAGAAATTGTTAACAAGAATTATGGTACTTAGCTGTAGTTTGGACTAACGAGTTTTGCCAGTAGCTCTTGAACCACTTTTATCTAGATGGAAAAGCATTTTAACATAGGCCAATTCCGGGCATCACTCATCCAATATCGAGATATATAGTATATATATATTCAAAGTAATTTAGATGTTCCTCAGAACACACCATCATGGCGCAAGAAACCTCTCGTAACTACATACTTTATCAACGAACAAGCACTCAACGCATATCATTCCAATACAATAGATTTCAGCTAAATCGTATTCAACTTGAGATTCAATAAATAAATAAAGAAAAAAAAACAAGGGTGTTTTATTTGTAGATAGAAAAAGATGAAGGGATTAACTTGAAAAGAATTTATTAGATAAATTAAGTAGCTTTACTCTAAGAACCTAGTAAACATATTATTAAAACTTGTTTAAATAGTTAAAAAAAACTCTCTTTTGATAACAATCTCTTTGATTCACTTCTTCTGACACACCATAAATATCCTTTTACAAAGCGAAGACAGCTCCTTGCTCCCTCCTGGCCCTGACAGACAAACGTGCAAGGTCATTTGTGCGTCCTCCACACAAAACTTGTCACTAGCATTAATTTTACTGTCTTGGCACAAATAGAAAATAACGAAAAAAAAAAGAAAACTGACACTCAAAACTGTCCGAAGGCATTTACAAATGTTCAAGAGCAAGTATGTGAGTTTTTGTACATATTTTAAACGCTGACCTTTGATGACTCATAAGGCCAAGTAGTGTCCTTAAGCTGTGCGCATCTCACCCAAGGATGTGTCGTCATAAGGCTCCTCATGGAATTTCAAATTAACTGCAGTGGCGAAGGTGGAGGCAACAAAGGCTTATTTTTGTCCACTTTCCATTTCGATGTTTGGCGTTGTTTAGCCATCACGACTATTGGGTTCAATAGCACCCAACAAAAATAGAATAATAGGCCGGGCCAGGCGTTGTTTGTTCGACCCCATTTCCACCGACCCGATCCTCAAAGTCCTGCTATAAATAAATCCTTCATTCGTATGCAAACAAGTGCACCGACGGGCGGCCACTGAATGGGGCGGGTCCCTTGCATTCGCCTTCGGAGGGCGTGACTGGCGGGCATAATGGACAAGTTGGGAAAATGTTGTTGCAGTTCTGGATTCCGCTGAAGGTTGCCACGGGGCATGATAACTATCTCAGAGGGAACGCAAAATGGGGAGAGAGTTTTTTTTTTTAATTTATATGTTTGAATATATATTGTAAGCAGGTATTAAATGCTTTAAATTAAGCTTATACACCGAGAGATATTTATTGAAATTATTTAAAATATTAATTAAGGTAAATATTAAAGTAGGGAGATGGTTATTGTTAAGGCTATGATTAGAAACTATTATAAACTATTTTTCATTATATTTTCTTATTTGTTAGAAGTATTATTTTATTTAATATTATTTTTTTTATAATTTTGATTAATATGTATCCTATATTTTTCACAGTATATTATTTTTTCAGGTATGTTTGCTCGTGTAGGATTTATGGTTTTCCAGATGGCTGACTTAATGCAATGTGATACGATTTTATTTAATATATTTTTAAAAACTTATTTTCCATTTAAATGAACTTGGTTAACAAGCAGATTATTAATGGGATATAAAAATGAAAGATAAATGTTGATGTGTGTGATTTTGTGGCAGTTTGAAAAGGGTGTAATTATTTACAAGGAAATTAATTTTAACTAATATATTTATCCTTATATTTATTCCCTTTCCCTCAAGAGTATCTGTTTGTTCGACTTGAGGTATTTTCCTCAACCATTCTATAAGTTTTCTCTGGAAAAACTTTGCCAGTCTGTTGGTGCTGTTGCGGCAGCTATTATTGTGGCTGCCTTTTGGGGGCTCATTCTTTGGGACAACTGCTGGCTGGAAACCTACGAACTACGTAGTAGTGTTCACTTCGCATGGCCAATTACGGTCTCACTGGCTCCTCCGCGTTGTCCTGTCTTTTTCTTCGGCCTGAACTTTTGCTTTCGTTGCTCCTCTGCCTTGTATTTGGTCCGGGTTTTCCCCGCTCTTCCCCTTGGCAGGCGTCGCATTGCAGTGGCATGTTGGCCCAGGTCGCTTGCACCTGCTCTTGCACCTTGTTGCCCTTTTGGGGGGCTGAATGTTTAGTGTCTTGGTGGCCATTTATTGTTACACTCGACTTCACCGGCCCGGCGACTTCATTTGCCACGTGAGCGGTACGGCTTATTGATTTCTTCGACTTAATTTGCTTGCCATTTTGCCGGCCGTTGTTAAAAGCGGTTATTACGCATACGTCACGTATGCCCAAACCTCGGGAAACTTTTGTTGCAGACTTTTTGGCAGGTGGAGGGAAATTCTTTTGATGTCTTATATGTGTATTTTACATTCTGTTTTAAAGAATACAAATATTTTGGTTGGTTTTTTAGTAAGTAAATGAATATTTTTGGGCTTTCCGGTATCTTGCTGAAAGGGTAAAGCCATGGCTAAAAATTTAAGGGAAACTTAAAAATATTTACTTAAAGGAAACCATTTTTAAACAAAATAAGTCCCTTCACTTCAATCTTTAAGGCATAAAGAACGTTTACTTTACATATTTATGTTAATATTATTGCATACTTTTAAACCCAATACAAAATAGTTTAGCTTTTAGCTTTGCTAATCCCATCGTATATTTGGTTAATTTTTATGGCGTTTGTTAAGGAGAATCTAAACATATTTCTTAAAGAACATTTGACCCATTAGAGCCCACACATTTCAGAGGGCTTAGGCCAGGCCAGGCGAAGCATTTCATAAGATTGTTTTTTCTTCTTTTTTGTGAAAATATAAAATATGATTTAGGTAAAATCAGATGGGCTTGTTCGTTTTTACTGCGGAGGTGTCGGTTCCAATCAAATTTGGACAGAGCAAACTGTTGCGCTAATCAAACAAATGGTCCAGGCTGTTTTTCTGAGGTGAATTCCTCGCTGGCAGACTGCCATCCCATCGGATGACAAATTTTCTTTTCCGTGTTGTGGCAAGCTAACGAAACATTTGTGGCCATAAACTACAAGGGAAGGTGGGGTGGGATCCCTTGGGGATTGGGTGGCTGTGGCTGTGGCTGTGGGTGTGGGTGAGGGTGCGGGGATACGGCTATGCTAATGAGATCTACGATTATAGAAAGCCATAGCTTAGATAATGCCCCACACACTCACGGGGAACCAAAGAAAGTTGTGCACAACCCACACCCCCGGGGGAATTGATTCTGATTTTCATTTGATTTTGCCATAAAATGAAACAAATTAGTTGATTGCTTTGTTTAGCTTTAATTGCAAATGTATTGTCGTTGCGCCAGCTGCGGCACCTCGATTGATTTCCAAACGAGAAATGCTCTCTAGCGTTACACTTAACCACTTGGGCTTATTTCGCTACACTGAGAAAAAGTGGGTCAATGTAACCCTTTAAAAAAATTTAATTTTCTAGGAAAATATATTAAAATAATTTACAATACACCAAAAATAAATATTAATATAATTTACATAGATTTATTTCTTATAATTCTATTTTTAAGTTTAGTCAATTTAAATTTAAGACTATTTCAGGTCATATTCCTATTCTAAAATGTCACTTTTTATTATAAAAAGAAAAGAAAAATCATGGTATTACCAACATATTTCTTATATCAAGTTAAATTTAGCTTTTGTTCATATATAAATTATATTTTGGACTATTTTTTCTAAAGATCCAAAAGGCGACAGGGCCTTAAAGAGGTGTCAAGGCATATAAACATCCGTGCTATAATTTATAATGCTCGATGTTCATTTCGTTGATGGCTTTTTGCATTTGAAATTTGAATTTTCCGGGTGTTGAGGGATGGAGCTATAATTTATGGGATAACTCAAAAATACGATAGGGAATGAAATGATTTTTTCTGGGCCTATTTGATTGACTTTTACTATTAAGACAGGCTGAACTTCTTAACATAACTGAAGTGTAACTATCTTAAATTAAATCTATATTAATTACTCTTTATTTTCTAAATTAAAATAAAATATTCTGTAGCTCCTATTTGAATGCCATTGCCTGTTTTGCCAGACTGACTAGGCTTCATAGCAAACCCATTGAACTTAGTCGATGTAGAATGACTTTATAGTACTACTACAAACTCAAATGGCATCTAAATTGCTGCGAAGCTTGTTATAATTATTATAAAATACACGCAAAATCCATTGCAATGCCAACAACAAAAACAACACCAACAGTTGGGACGACAAATTACAATTACAAACGGGGTGGGCCAACCCCAAAGCCAATCCACAGCGATGATTGTGTTTCGCTATGGGCACGGGTTTATAACGTTTATATAGAGAGGAGGAGCAGAGGCAGGGCCTTCCCATAAATGTTCTATAGATGTCGCGACATCGACAACGATACATGTACGAAATCATGTTTTTGTAGCTTTTAGGGGCTAATCTGCACTGCAAAAATACCCTTTTGTCATGGCTACCATCTGTATCTGTGTATCTATGGATTGTGTATCTGCAATCTACGTATCTGTTGGATGTATTGCTGATTTATATCTTGTAGCGGCTTAAATTGTATAAGCACAGACAACAACTCAGCGCCAAATTTGGTCAAAAAGTGAAAAGAATTATGCGCCGTTCGGATTTCCGCCAAAGAAATGTCTCTGTTTTTATTTGGCTTTTGTATTTGTGTTTGTTGTTTTGATTTTTTCAATTTAGCCACAGATACATTTGTATCTGAGCGAGCGGAAATGCTGCGTAATTAAGTTGAAAATGCTGAAACCGAAACGCTGCGCGAACTTTTCGACTTTTCAGCTTGACTTTTTGGCATGCTGATTTTTTAAGGCGTTGGCGATATGGGAGAATGGTTTGCTTTGGAAGAGCAGGGGGAATTTAAAACCAAATTAGGAAGGTCAGTTTTGGAAATTTAAAAATTACGGAAGTTGGAAAGAAAGTGAAAAGAAACGTTTGGTAGTCATTTAAGTAGCCTGGACTTATGAATATTTAATTAATAATATTTAAAAACATTTTTATAAGAAAAAAAAACATATATAAATGGCTGCAGTTTAGTGGATTTATAATATATTTCCTTAAATTTAATAATTTGAATTATTTCTTTTTTGTATCGTAGATTATCAATAGCGGAAATTTCTCTGACATCCATAAATCAATCTTTTGTATATTTTAAACCTAATCTTAACTTAAAATCTATTGAACAGATTTTACTTTCCTTGATTATTATTTTTCAAAAGATAATACAGTTAACTTGGAAAAACCTCTATGAATTCTACCCCTCTACGGAAGTAGTTCCATAATGCAACCCACCCAACATACCAGAGAGACCTCACAGCAGCCCCTCAAGGAAATAAAACTCGGATCGAAGCATTTCCATTGACGGCCAAAGAGACGTTTTCGGCCCACAGCAGCACTCAGCCCCCTTTCGCAGCAGAAATGGCAGAAAAACACAACAAATGCCCCAAGATAAACAATCGAAAACATCGCCCAGCTTTGACTGGGAATGTAACTGCGGCTGCAGTGAAAGAAATATATAAAAATATTTAAATATCAATAAAATATATTATAAAATTAATTGTTTATATATTTCAAAAAAGGTAAAAGGGTTTTAGTTTATGATTTGCTTTTACCTTTTAAACTAAACCCTTTTAGCAAGGATCTCCCCCCTTAAGCAACCAAGAAACATTTATTTCTTAATGGAAATCCTTTTTAAAATAAGTTAAATTTTATAATAATAGCTTTTCTAGATAGTATAATTTTTAAATACGATTTTTCCATCTTAATTAACTCATTTTTGAAACCATTTTCCCTATATTAAAACCTCGTTTAATCGCCGTGTCAGAACTACGTCACATGTGTCATTGGGTCTAGACTGGAATCTCGCCGAGCGGCGTTGAAGTGAGACTGTGTCGAGCTCAGCTCCGAGCTGAATCCCACTGGGGGAAGCTAATGGCTATAAAAGCCACAACTACTGTCGTTGGCAAGTTTAATTTGCTCAGAGCAGAAACCGCGAGTGGACGTCTCCAAGAGAACGCGATAAGTGAAAAGAAATACCGAAACGCTAGCGTTGCTGTTCGTCCTGTTCCCGAGGATTATACAATAACAAAACTGACCGAAATGGCTCTGGTTCCGGCTACAAACAACACCGATTGGGATTACTGGGATTACCGCCGTCGCCTGTGGCGCGACTGGGATTTGGCCGACTGGGATTTGCCCTACTGGAAGCGGTCTCTGTCCCGCGTGGGATCCGCACCCGATCTCAGCCGGGTGATCGTTGGCAAGGATGGCTTCGAGGCCAACGTGGATGTGCATCTGTTCAAGCCGTACGAAATCACGGTGAAGACCACCGGCGACACTGTGGTGGTGGAGGCCAAACACGAGAAGCGCCGCGATGGAGACACCTTTGTGGGCCGCCACATTGTCAAGCGATTCGTCCTGCCCCGAGGATACTATCCCAATGACGTGCGATCGGAGCTCTCCTCCGACGGCATCCTCACCGTGCGCTGTCCGCCATATCTGACCAACGAGCGGAGTGTCTATGTCCGCCAAGTGGGTCCCTCGTATCTAAGCATCAAGAACTAACCCGCCTTTGGGGTCTGGCAGAGTATCCCAGATCGCACATTCGTGTTTTGTTTTTAGTTCTCTTCTGTTGGAGCAAAATCGAGCCACCAAATTAATGCACACGACCAGGCGAATGAGTACGCCTGAGACTTTTCGAGATTCATAATGCTAAGACTAGAATTGGACTCTTTTTGTAATTAACAAGGCAACCTTTTGTTTAGTTAAATAAAATAAAAGTTTAATTTATTAATAATTAATTAACTAAGACTATCTTATTTGGAACCCTCTCTTGTTTCCCCAGCGGATGCTTTAAGAACAATGCCCAGGAAAATGTCAACATAAATCGACTCAAAACCGAGAAAGACAAAACAAAAGTCAGCAGCTGACCAGACCAAAATGTATACTATATATCTTTGCTACTATATATTGCCACGCCCTTGAGCAATTTCCGCAATTTGCCATCTAAGGTTAAGTTAAAATGTAAATGGACCCATTAAACGACAACAACTCGGAGCATAAACCTACACAGGAAAGTGTCGCATAGAAGTCGCCTGGAAATGGCTCTGGAAAAACTAATCTAGATATATATATATCGGTTGACCATACAAAGTATCTAGAGTAGAGCGAATTCGCACGCCCACAAATTGTTGAGAAGCGTGGAAGCAGCTTGGCGATTTAAAACGCGCTTGCGGTTCAAAAGCGATTTAAAACGCGTACGCGCAGTGGCTGGTCAAAAGCGTTTAAAAACGCTTTTAAACTTACTACGAACTATTCATTCATTTCACTATTAAATTTAAAAAAAAAAAAATAGATTTAAAAAGCTAATCAAGTATAAAAAATCATAAAAAATTAATTAATTTTAAATTCATTAAATCTGAAATGTTTTTAATGCCTAAATATACATGTTACAAAGAATTGAAGAAGCTTTTATTAGAATTTCATATCACAAGTCACTCCCTGCTAGTTAATTTACCAAATCAATAGAGCATTAATGGGTGAAAAACATTGAATTAAATATTTGAATTAGAGACCATTAATGGGTGAAAAACATTGAATTAAAATATTTGAATTAACACTCCCACGAGCGACTAAAGTCGCGCACAATTGTCTGTCAATCCGCGACTCAATCGAATGGATCAATTATGTGTGTAGCCTTAGAACATTTGCAGTTGTTTGAGCCAAAACGAAAACAATTTGTCAATCAAATTGTGGGCTATCAACTGGCGAGGTCTGCTGGACAATGGGAACCACAGCAGGGTCTGGGATCGGAAGCGCGGGGATTGGGCAGTAACTTTGCCCATTTGGGAGCGAGCATCTACAACGGGTGAGCTACTTAGCTATATTCTGAACGTTTATATATAGAAAAACATGTTTGTTCGGTTGACCAAATAAGTCGAAGAGTGCGGCGAGTGTAACACACCTACGCGCCTTTGTGTTGTATTTAATTTTGTTTAATTAAAAACAATTTACAATTTGGCGAGCGACTGCAGCGGCGCATTTGATTCGGGATGATTGAGCGTTTTATATTTATGTAATGGAATGCCAGCTATACGTAATATCAATAATAATCATTTTCCGGACAAGCACTTTTGACAGCCGCTGAAGGATCACAACGATCAAGTTCAATGCAAAAGCAGAGGAGGCACAACAGCCCCTCATCAATTCTCGAGGCCCAATGCTAATGATAATACCACCGGGTAAAAATAGTTTCCATCTCCCCAAACCAAACGGTGACACTTGTGCGCTCTCGTACTAATTTGCTTTATGATAGCAATGAAATATCAGCATATATCTGCCTCTAAACCTATATATATTTTTCTTTGGAGGCGCGGAAAATCCGTGGGTTCCCTTCGAGAAAAGTTGGAATCTTTTTGGCTCCTCAGTCTTGCCTTGGCTCTCGGCGGAAACGGTGCGTTCTTTTCTAAATACAAAATTTCGAGTTGCTTTTCTGAGATTTTCGAAAATACATATATATACAAAAGTTCCTTGTTGATTTTTTAATATTAAATAAAGTTATTACATGCTTAATGAATTCAAATTACTGAAAGTGCTTTGACTTTGTGTAAAACTGTCCCTTTACTTCCACAAAATGCCTATAGATATATGTAAAAAGTGCTGAACATGTGCTATTTATAAAAGCCGCCTTAATCTTAATGGCTCTGCCCCTCTATATATCTTTACATATATAGTTCTTGTCCCATAAATATGTTGGAGACAAACTAAAAAAACGAAACGAGAAACGTGAAATTTTATTAATGCCTTCTTATTTATAAAATTCAAAAATCCAAAGAAGTCAACCGAAGTGAGAGAGTGGAAAGGTGTGATAGCAGCTCCAAAAGGATCGTGAAAAGGGCTGCAGAATGTGGGCGGCGAAATATGTTTTATGGACGCTGACATGCGTTGCATTTGCTTCAGGTAAGCGTGGGCGAGGCTCTATAATATCTTACGGATATCGGGGAATGGGAAATTTATGGCACACTATTGAAGGAGATTGGGATTTTACTAGAAATCGGTGGAAGCATACATTGGGAGGTGGAAATATCTGTTCAAAAAGTGAATATTCTTTGTAGAGAAAGAAGCGAAAATATAGCTAAAGAAGTATTCAAAATAAATAATTTAATCATGCTAAGATAAAGCCTATATTCAAATGTATATAAATTTATATTTAAATAGATCAGGAAAATCATTTTATTTTTAATTGTAATTGTTAAGAACCCAATTTTTACGCTCTGAAATTTCCTTTTCATAAGAAAAACGAATTTTCTTAACCAATATATTTTTCTTGAGTTCAATGAATAATTCCGCATTTTTCTTATTCATAAGGAACACAATTTACCCACTTCCAAATCTTTATCTATATGACCACACAAAACTGTCATAAAAACCATTTGTCCTAACAGCTAATGGACCATATATGTATATTTTTATGACACGTTTTCTCTATAGGAAAATAGTGCTATATAAATGAGTCATGACTAACACGGGGCACCCATTTACCTTAACGAAATATAGTTCACCAAATTACCGGCCGGCGTTCAGAGAGACAAGAATCATAAAAACCGATCGTAAATCAAAGCAAAGAAAATCCCAAAATGAAAAATTAAACTCGGAGGAGACACGAGAGAAAATCTTCATGGCAATGAAAAGTCTTTTGGCACTGATTCAACTGATTGATTCAGCTTGTTTTTATGGGTTTCCCCTTAAGTAGCTGAGTGTCTAAGATAGCTCTGAATATTTTTTTTGATATTAAAGGGACTGCGAGCAGCTGTAGGAGGTATTAAAATAATGAAGGACTTTGGAGAGAAGTTTTTATTTCAAAAGTGAAGTGGATAACACCCGGAGATTATCAGTGATTATATTCTTATTGCTTTTTACATACTATTTGTTTAGAATTACAATTCCTTGAAAGAATTATAACTCAAGATAATGGCATACTACAGCTGTTGATCACAAATTTTAAAAGAACGATTTCCCTGGCTTAATAAATTTCATTAATAAATATTTACTGGCATAATTTTAGGCTGCATAATATTAAGATAATATTTACTATACAAGACACTTTTCCTCCCAATCTTCTCACACCCTAGCTTCTTTAAGCTCAGAGCGGCGTGAAAAGATCATGAAAATTCCCGAAGAGCCAAATGTACCCAAGTCCCTGGCGGCTATTTTGGACATGAGCTGTGTGGAGGCCAAGGTTGTGCCGCCAGAGATTAACCACGGTCGAGTGTCTCTCTTCGAGCGTCGCCGGCGGGGCGAGAAGGTCTTCCTGGTGGCCTATTTCTCCTGCAATGAAAATTACAAGTTCGAGGCCGCCGACGCCACTGCCATGTACTGCTCCAACCGGAAATGGGTCGGGGAAATCCCCACCTGCATTCCCCAGGCAGAATATACCGATGGCGAGGGCGAGGGCGATGGCGATGGAGAGACTGAGTTCGATGAGTACGACGAGTACGAGACGATTCCCAATGATGAACTCAATTCAGTAGAAAACAATGAGGAAGATGAGACGCAGGATAATGAGCAGGAACCACCTTTGCCACCACTGCCACCGCCAGTAAAGGAAGTTGCTACAACTGCAGATGAATCCAAGCTGGAGGTCACCGGCGATGTCAAGCCGGAACCACAAATTGTTATCCAAATCAATGAAGATAAAAACAGCCCAGTGGCACCATCAAATATTGAAGTTCAAAGAAACAAGGAGCAGGAAGAGGCTACATCTGCAGAGCCTATTGAACCAGAAATTGACAACGAAGTTCCCCAAGAAATCGAAACTATTTCGGAGCCCGAAATCCCAACTTCCCAGGAGCCAGAAAACGGCATTGCCAAGGAGCCTGATAACTCTATAGTTCAGGAACCTGAAATAAAGGCATCCCCGGAGCCAGAAGTCCCGCCCGTTGAGGTAACCTCTCCTAGTGCAGAAATTGCATCCAAGAAGGATGCTTATGCCCCAACCCTTTTGGGTACTGATTGCGGAGAAGACAACCCCAATTGTGAGCAAATATGCAAGCGATTGCTCTATCCAGATGAGAACGAACCCGTCTACAAGTGCGACTGCTGGCAGGGCTATACCCTGAATCTTACAGATTATACCGGGTGTATAGGTGGGTGAAGTTGACTACAATTCGAGGATAAACCTTACTTAATCTTATATTTTTTCCTCAGATATCGATGAGTGCCAGGAGTCAAATGGTGGCTGCTCGGAGATCTGCAATAATCTACCAGGAGGATTCCAATGCGCCTGTCAAAAAGGCTACGAAATAGATGCTTCAACTGGGAAGTCTTGTATAGGTAGGTACTTTAAGGTATAAAAGAAATCTTCTATATATAAAATATATATCCTATTTTCTAGACATTGATGAATGCGCCAATCCCGAACTATCTTCAGACTGCCAAGCTGGTTGCGAGAACCTTCCAGGTTCTTACCGCTGTGTGGTGCCGTTGGTGACCAAGGAAGAAGCCACCAAAGAGGAAGCCCCCAAAGAGGAAGCCACCAAAGAGGAAGCCACCAATGAGGTCACTGAAGAATTGGTCAAGGAGACAACCACCGAAATAGCACCCAAGTCCAGTTGCAATTCCGGCTTTGAGCTGTCTGCCGATGGCAGTCAATGCCTGGACATCGACGAGTGCGAAGTGTTTGGTCCGGAAGACCCTCATTACTGCCAGCACAAGTGCGAGAATACAATTGGTTCTTACCGTTGCCATTGCACCCAAGGCTACCATCTTCTCGAAGACAAGCACAGCTGTGCCCTAGATGGCTGTGCGGATCTGGACAATCCACAGCTAAATCGCACTCGTTGCGCCCATGAGTGCGAGGATCTGCCGGAGGGCAATTACCGTTGCAAATGTCCCAAGGGCTATGAGCTCTCCGAAGATGGGCACTCGTGTTCGGTGCTGGAGACCCCCTGTTCCACGCAAAAGGGCCACGAACGTTGCTCGCCGGGAACTTGCATGCCCAGTGAGAACAACACTAGTTTTAGCTGCATTTGTCCCGATGGATACAGAAGTGAGAGTTTAAGCTGCCAGGATATAGACGAGTGTGCGGAGGAGTCGCACCTGTGCAGCCACCAGTGCCAGAACACACCCGGAGGCTATCAGTGTCTGTGTCCCGAAGGTCTCAACTTGGTGGAGGAGTTGACCTGCCTGGCCGAGGATCGCTGCGAGGTCAACAACAATGGCTGCGAGCAGATCTGTCTAACGGCTCGTGGAGGCATCTGCTCCTGTCGCGAGGGCTTCCGCCTGAGCCCCGATGGCAAGAGCTGCGAAGACGTGGACGAGTGCCAGGTGAAGAACGGTGGCTGCCAACAGGTGTGCCGCAATCTTCCAGGTTCGTATGGGTGTGTTTGTGCCGCTGGCTACGAGCTGCTCAAGCTGGACGGCATCCGTGGCTACTGCTTCGACATCGACGAGTGCTCGCGGGGTACTCACAGCTGCAGCGAGCAAATGCTTTGCGAGAACCTCAATGGTTCCTACACCTGCTTGTGCCCGCCGGGCTATGCCCTGGGACTGGACAGCCTCATTGCCACATCGCTAAACACCTCATCATCATCATCATCATCCCATGACTCAACTTCATCCGCGACTCCATCATGCCTGGACATCGATGAGTGCTCGCTGGCCAATGGCAATTGCTCGCATTTCTGCCAGAATGAACCCGGTGGCTATCAGTGCGCCTGCCCCATGGGCTTTGCTCTCTTCGAGGACATGCGTACGTGCCAAGACGTCGACGAGTGTGGCGAGAACAATGGCCACTGCGCGCAGCTCTGCTTGAATCAACCCGGGGGCTTCGCTTGTGCCTGCGAATCGGGCTTCGACCTGACCGCAGATGGCTTCGGCTGCTCGGACATCGACGAGTGCTCTCAGAGCTATGGAAACTGTAGCGACATCTGCATAAATCTTTTAGGTACCTTTGCCTGCGCCTGCGAGAGGGGCTACGAGTTGGCGAAGGACGGTAAGACCTGTCAGGATGTGGACGAGTGCTCGGGATTGCTCTCCGGTGGCTGCACCCACGAGTGCATCAACAAGGAGGGAACCTTCGAGTGCGGCTGTCCCCTGGGATATATTCTCAACGAAGATGGTCGCAGCTGTCGTCCTGCTTTGGTCGGTTGTCCGCCGGGCACCCAGAGGTCCTCCGACGGCTGTGCTCCTATTGAGTGTGGTCTCGGTTGGATGCTGGGATCGAAGGGCAAGTGTGTGGACATTGACGAGTGCCAGGTGAACAATGGCGGCTGCTCGCATCGCTGCGAGAACAGCGAGGGCTCCTTCAAGTGCAGCTGCCCGCCGGGTTATAGCTTGGATGCCAAGCAAAGGAATTGCCAGGATATCGACGAGTGCGCTGAGGACAAGAAGAGCTGTGTGGCTGGCAAGTGTGTAAATGAGGTTGGAGGGTTCCGTTGTGAATTCCCCAAGTTTCCCGATCTGCCCGAGGTTCCAGCTGTCTCTGCTCTGCCCGAATTTCCCAAAACGGAAACGAACAAAATCAACTATCCGGACATTAACGAAAGGCCAAACGAGATACCTCAGAGTCCAAAGTTCCCCTCCTTCCCGGAGATATCAAAGCCGAAGTACCCATCGTTCCCTACGCTACCAAGCTTCCTGGATTCAAGCACACCGGAACCAACCTTTGGCCAGTCGCAGCCCAGGGATCTCTGTCCGCGGTTCCAGGCTCCTCCGAATGGCAAAGCTCGCTGTAACAGATACCGCCAGAAGAAGAAGCTGTTCTACAACAGTCGTTGCCGCATCACCTGCAATCCGGGTTATACCCTCGAGGGTCCGGAGATCAGAAGCTGTGGACCCACAGGAGTTTGGGAGGGTGCGGAGACCAAGTGTATTGGTGAGTTCTCATGTGTTTGGGTTGTTTTATTTGTTCTAGTCCTGTTCTCTTCACAGCTATTCAGCAGCCCAGCGTGCAGACCCCAGGAATCTGTCCCGCTTTGCGACCCGCTCGCAATGGCATCATCTCCCCTGCCAGCTGTACCCAAGGGCCATCTCGGTTCGGAGACATCTGCCAGCTCCAGTGTAATCCCGGTTTTGTGGCCACCGGACCCATGCTCACCTCCTGCATGGTCCTGCAGGGTTGGGCCTTCGGTTCCGATCTCGATTGCAAGCCCTTTGAAAGCAGCAGCTTGTTTGGCAGCCAGATTCCCTGGGCTCCTTCGCAATCCCTGCAGAATTTGGCGCCCGTGCGAGTTCACCAGAGAATCAGACCTCAAATCAAGTGTCCCGAGAATGTGGTGATCCTGCTGCATAGCGGCGAACAGAAGACGCATGTGACTTTGCAAAGACCGGAAACGAATCTGAAACGAAGTCAATTGGTGGCTTCACCCGCCTGGGCAGGAAAACTTGAGGGTCATTTGCCAGCCGGAGTGCATAAGGTCCACTTCCGAGTGACCGATCCAGAGACCAGGTTACATGCATCCTGTGAGACAGTGATCACCGTCAAGGCGGCCACTCCTAGCTATTCCTCTGTGCAATTTCCCCCGCTGCCCAGGCCGGCGCCATTTCCCACATTTTCCTCCAGAAGCTCAGATAGATTTCCCTCAATTACTTCCTTTAATTCCGAACCCAAGCCAGCTCCCTTTCCCACATTCTCCTCATTTAATTCCGAACCCCAACCAGCTCCCATTCCCACATTTTCCTCGCTTGGAAAATCGGAATTTCCCAGTTTCAGTTCGTCAGTTCCTAAGGCTTCACCCTTTTCCGGGCTGGAACCATTTTCCCAGAAATCTGCCAAGCTGATTAGCTCTGCTCCGGCGGCTACGGAAAGTACAAGAATCGATTTGGGTTCGGATACGACCAATTTTTGTCCACCTTCGATTGAGGTTCACTTGAGAGAGCACCAGAACCTGCGATCTGTGGTCTGGGAAGAGCCGCGATTCAATGGAAAATTACTCAAGATCTACAAGTCGCATGTGAGTAATATCTAAAAAATAATTAAGTTCAAGGAAAATTTGATCATTTTCTTTTATTTTCAGTTTCCTGGGGCTTTGTTCAAGGCGGGAGATCATACCATTAAGTACGAGGCCACCACCACAGACGGGGTGACCCTCAGATGCATTTTCTTTATACATGTGAGATGTAAGTATTCTTGTAATAAATTTAAGATATATATTTATCTTTCGCTTAAATAGCTGCCAAACCTTCACCTCCACCGCCTCAGGCAGAGCTCCGCTTTGAGCCCGAGGCCGAGTCCAGCTCTGCACCTGCTCAGCTCCGGAGCTTCGATAGTCTAGTGTCGGGAGTCTATGTTGTCTGCCCTAATAAAGAGCCCGTTCGGGTGACTGACCAATCCGTAAGTTTGACTTTCCTCGAACTCAGCCAGAGCTACGATTGTAATAGTACTCATCTAGCGAAGGTTCTATTTTATATAGCTTTAATATCTTATAATAATAATATCTATAACTGAATATCTAGGTCAACCTGCCCGTGGGCTGCACTCTGAAGAACGTGCGCCCGCAATCGAGTCCCCAGAAACATCTGAAACGCGGCCAGCTCACCTCGCTGTGGCATCACTATGCGAATTTCTAAAGTCTGTAACTATATACATAAATATACTATATACGACTGCTCATCACATGGAATAGTAGATTTGATGCGACATTTATACAAATATTTTTGTACGTCTTTTGTATGATTACCTTAAATAAACTTAAATAAAAATATTTTAAAAATAGTGAAGAATGTTTAGAAGGGAATTTTATTGTTTATGGAGGGACTTTATCATCATGTAAAGCAAATTTATATATTTATATATTTAAAGAATCTTTTTATATAAATATAAATATCTATAAAGTATAATTTTCAACTCTTAATTAAGCTTATGTTTATCAAAATGTTTGACCATGAAACTCTTCTTCACCGATCAACGGAAAAGAGTCTTGTAAACTTGTGTAATATTACATCAGCTTAAAAATTTTCTTTTATCAGTTGGCGTGCCATAAGCCACTACCACTAACCCCTCAACTTTAGAGTATAAACAAAAACAATTATTGCTTTCCACAAACAAAAAGACCAAGCAATGATCATGGCCAATGCAATCCACATAGAACAAAGATATTACAAATAGAACTCGACTAAGTCTAAGGTAATTAAAATGATTGATTTATATCTGAAAAATCAGGCTAAGACCAGGTGAGTGAACTGATTGATTTAAGATTGGTTCTGAATTCAATTCCCATCAAATCGCTGTGGATCGTATCGTTTATACGTAACAGCAAAGGCAGCGCGTGCCAGGCCCACCACTTGAAGCTGTTCACTACTGAAATAATTGCCCTGAAATGCCGTTGAACTCGTTTGGTAAGAACCTGTCATTAACAATAAAAAAATCACTCTGTTAAGATTATTCAGTTTTATTTTGTTTTTTGTTTTTTTTTTTTTTTTTGCAAAAACAAAGAATCTAAAACTAGCTAGAATAATGTTTTGTTATAACGAACCCCAGCAGAGCCATGAACATGACTGCTGATAATATTTTAATGAAACAGTCGAGCTTCCTGAAGATGAAATTTGACGAAATTTATATTATTAACTAAAATTCATAAGGAAAAATATTGGTTAAAAAATTGAGAATAATTTAAATTTAGCCTGGATTTATTTATCTTAAAATACACAACCCCAATCGCTTATCACTTAGTCTAGAAGGGTTTTGTGTTGTTATTTTTATTAATTAGTTTATTCTTTTTTTAAGTCAGAAACACTTCGACTGGTTTACAGAATCTAGACTGTATCTATGTTTTAATATTTAGATTTAATCGGCTAGACAGCGGCTTCTGTAATGAGATGGAATGAGATTTTAGGCCCATCGAGAGGCGGCGACTGATAACCCCAGAAGCCGCAGAGTTAGAGTCGAGATTGGACCGCATGTGGATGCCATTCCAAGATCATTCACTCGCCCGATTGCCCGCATTATTATTTACTGGTTTCAGTTGAGTTCGGTTTTCGTTTTCGTTTTGGAACCGCCATAAACTAGGGGGGCTGGGTTGTGGGGCCTGGGGCCTAGCGAAAAGTCTATTTAAGCGCGCGATTAACTGAGAATTTAAATCAGTTTTAAATCGTGTGCCGAGCGGATCGTTCGTTATTTCAGTGAAGACACCACCACCAGAGACGGAATCAAGTGAGATGTACCAGCGTCAGGTCTCCTTTGATAAGGTTTGTGTTGGCTCAGCAAGCCGCGAACTGTAAAATAGCAATCAAATTAATAACAATAACACATTTATTTATTTATTTGTGCACTCAACCTGAACTTTTGCTAACCTTGACAAGAATATATCAACAACAAGCAAATATATTAATTTATTAAAACGATTAAAGTGAGAAAGCGGATTTATAATCGAATTGACTTGTCATGGAATTGGGTTAGTTCGCCATTACAAAGACAAAGGAATATTCATAGGAATATACTGTATTTTTGCTGGGTTGAGTGGAATATTTATTTCTGCAGCAAAACAAAAACAATAGTTTTTTTCTTACTCATTTAAAAATAAAACATAAAAAGGCTAATTTATGAGAAACTAGAATTGAAACCTGAATTAGAAAACCGGCATTATTTCTATTTTTATATATTTGTTTTGATGCATAATTTAGAAATGGGGAAAAATATCGGTTTGATAAAGGATTTATTCAGAGCAGAAAATAATAAATAAATAATTTAAATAATTTAATAATAATTTTATTAAAGCCTTTTTAAATTGTTTAATAACTCCTCAGTAAATCCTTGGCAAGAAACCTTCTCAAATTACCACTTTTCAAGACCTTTAGAAGACACATCACACCAAGTTCAAGGTGAGCCCTTGGCAATATGCACTGATTGCCTTTGCGGTCAGGCCTAAACCTTCAATATTACCACTATATCTCAATGCAAATGATGTAAATCTTATGCAAGTACTACAATTACAGTTTGTTTAGTCATTTATGGCTTCGTTTATTAAAAATTTCACAGGGTTTGGCCCTAGTTAACCCATATAACAAAAGATTCGCTGATAGTTAATCGGCTGAAATATAATAATGTGTAGCTGATAATTATTATAATAGAAAGTTAACCTGATAACTAGTTCAACGGGTCATTCACTTGTCTTTCCTATGATGCAATTGGATTTTTCCAAAACATAAATGTAAATATTTTCAGACGTTAAGGAAAGTTTTCCCCTTGATTTCTTTTAGCCAACGCGCGTTGAGGACTCGGCTTATATAGTCGAGGGTGTGGACATTCAGGAGGCCAGGAACACCTGCCTGCTGTTCTCGCCCAAGGACTCCTCGCTGTCCAGCGGTGCCTTGGCCAATATCCTGGGCATCTTCAAGCAGCATGACATCAATCTAGTGCACATCGAGTCCCGCTCCTCGCTGCGTGTTCCCGGCTACGAGTTTTTCGTGGAGGCCGATGGCAAGTCGGGGGCTCTGGGCAAAGCTATCGAGGATGTAAAGGAGCAGTGCAGCTACTTTAATATCATCTCACGCGACTACAAGGATAATGACACTGCTGTGCCCTGGTTCCCACGGCGTATACGTGATCTGGATAGGTTTGCCAATCAGATTTTGAGCTATGGCTCTGAGTTGGATTCCGATCATCCGGGATTCACAGATCCTGAGTACCGCAAGCGCCGCAAGTATTTTGCCGACATCGCCTACAACTACAAGCATGGCGAGCCCTTGCCACATGTGGCCTACACCAAGGAGGAGACCGAAACCTGGGGCATTATCTTCAGGAACCTGACCAAGTTATACAAGACCCACGCCTGCCGGGAGTACAATCACGTCTTTCCCCTGCTGGTGGACAACTGTGGCTTCCGCGAGGATAATATTCCACAGCTGGAGGATGTCTCTAACTTTTTGCGGGGTAATTATATTTATTTTTGATTTGCTTAAATTTATATTTATTTCTTTAAAATCTTGTTAAAGATTGCACTGGCTTCACCCTTCGTCCGGTGGCTGGTCTTCTTAGCTCTCGAGATTTCCTGGCTGGCTTGGCCTTCCGCGTCTTCCACTCCACTCAGTACATTCGTCATCCCAGCAAACCCATGTACACCCCAGAGCCAGATGTCTGCCACGAGCTGATGGGCCATGTCCCACTCTTTGCCGATCCGGCCTTTGCCCAGTTTAGTCAGGAGATTGGTTTGGCTTCGCTGGGAGCCCCAGATGATTATATTGAGAAGCTTTCCACGGTAAGCTTGACAATTAATTTACAACTGATCTAAAATATTTATTAACATATTTTTATTTCCAGATCTTCTGGTTTACTGTTGAGTATGGTCTCTGCCGTCAGGAGGGTGAGCTGAAGGCCTATGGAGCTGGCTTGCTCTCGTCTTATGGAGAACTGGAATACTGCTTGACGGAGAAACCGCAGCTGAAGGACTTTGAGCCCGAAGTCACTGGCATTACCAAGTATCCCATTACCCAGTTCCAGCCTCTTTACTATGTGGCCGATAGCTTTGAAAGTGCCAAGGAGAAGACCATGTAAGGAGATTCCTTAAATTTCCAAAGCAACAATATCCTTATAATATATTTTATACCGTTACAGTAAATTTGCCAACTCGATTCCGCGTCCTTTCGGTGTTCGCTACAATGCCTACACCCAAAGCGTTGAGGTTTTGGACTCCAAGCCTCAGATTTCGAATCTGATGGACAACATCAACTCCGAGTTCCAGATCCTGCAGAATGCCATCACCAAGCTGCGCGTCTGATCCTACTACCTTACATTACCCCCTGTCTATATACATATATTGTTAGGAATGATTTGAATAATAAATACCAAGAAATTAGTCGTCTTATGTAACCTTTTTGTTTGCTTTATTACAACTCTGCTTAGTTCGGTTATGTTTTTGATTTGATTAGCTTGTTCAGTATGTTTTTTTGGGGGAGCTTGTTTCGCAAAACATAAAAACATCAAGTTATGTACAAAAAAGTCCTAGTTTATCCTCCTCGTTCGCTTATTTACAGGCTTAACCAAGTTCTCCCGACTTGTCCTATAGGTATGTACAGAGCTTAAACACTGAGTTAACTAGAGTTTTAAGGTAGTTGTAGTTGAGTGTAAGATAGTTGGTTTTCATTTACAATTGGCCAAGTTTAAAGCATTTGGCTCTTTATCAGCTGAAGATCGAAACATATTCGAACGAGCTCTTCCAACAGCAAAATAGTAATACGGGGAAAGCGGGGTGACGATTGAACTAAGGTATTTCGGCTGTTGGAAAAGATCGGGGCCTTAAGAGAACCTATGGGAATATGCTCACAGCTAAATAAATGTCAGTTGCAATCTCAACCTGAGTTTTGAATTAAAAAAATATGAATATAAATATAGCTTAAGTATGTACAAGAATAAACAATAAATCGCTTGATAAATATCTTGTTTGACTTCGGTGGCGAAGCCCAGTCTTGAAAATAATATGGAATTGGATTAGCTTTGCTTAACTCTTTTGTTTTTTTAGTTGTATTTGTTTAATTACAATAACTTAGAATAGGCTTTAAGGTTCGATTACGTATCAGAGATCCCTGTTTGTGCCTCGATGGCACTTACTAACCTACAGAAACGATGGGCTACATACAATCTTACAAACGAATTAATCCCTACAATATTTTGAGAACTTTACTACAGCTTATTTACACACATTAATCGGGGCTAGGACAATACTCAGTCTGTTGAGATCTACAACTAGTTCTCGGTCACCAATACAGGAGAAGGGTCGATGATAAAGAGAGCCAGAGGCCAAACTTGATTAATTTCTAGCATAATACGCGGGGGCCTACATCTACAGAGAGTTATATACATTAAGGACCTGCACGGGCTATTGACTACTGCCGGGGGCGGTGTGCGGCGAGTTGAATAGATTCTGTGATTGCTCTTGGGACATCTGGTAGGGCAATATTTCTAGATCGTTGGGCAACTGATTTTGGTTCTGACTCTGACTGTTGCTGAGAAAGGGATTCGAACTGAAGAAGTTGTTTGACTGCTGTTGCTGCTGCTGCTGCTGGTGTTGCTGCATCATTTGCTGCTGGTGCTGTTGCTGCTGCTGATGTTGCTGCTGCAACTGACTGCTGCTGGAGCTGTGCATCATTTTGTTGTCTTCGCTCTGGGTCTCCGAGCCATCGTCGCTAATGCCCATGTGAAAGTTGAGGGAGGGACTCGATTCGGTGGCCATTTGCATGTAGGACAACAGGGAGTCCTCGTTGTTGTTCTGCGGGGGATTCGAACTGCCGTTGTTGTTGTTCTGATTGCCATTATTCTGACTGCTGTTGCCACCATTGTAGTTCTGGCTATTATTGTTGCAGCCAGCATTTAGCTGATTGAGTGTGGACTGAGAATCCAGAGATTGCAGGGGTGACAAGTTGAGAAATAAATCATCGATATCCTCGCGCGACAATAGATCATTCTGCTGCTGCAACATTTGTTGCTGCTGCTGCTGTTGTTGCTGTTGCTGCTGCTGATGTTGCTGTTGCTGCTGCTGTTGCTGATTGTGTTGCTGTAGTTGCGTTTGACTCTGATGCTGTTGCTGCAGATTGTGCTGATGCTGTGTGTGCAGATTCTGCTGTTGCTGCATCATCATCTGCTGATCCTGCTGGTTCAGCATCTGCTCTGAATTCAACGCAAAACCATACTGATTGAACTGCGGCTGCACTGCATTACTACCGGAGAAGTTCAGCCCACGTTGACCACTTCCTGATCCCATATTTCCCATGGCCGTGGCCGCCATATTCGTTGTTGCAAATCCCATCGGCATCATGGGCTGCAGGTATGTGTAGCGGGCCAGAAGCAGCTGTTCGGAGACTATCCTCAGCTCGTTCTGCTGCTGCAGTATCAGCTTTTGCAGTTCGTCGTGCTTACGCTGCAGCTGATCCTGCAGCTGGCTCTGCGTGGGCGTCATCACGACGGTGTCGGGCAGCAGGTCCTGCTGTGCCTGCACTGGCAGCGGCGAAAGCACAGGCGCCACCGGAAACGGCGCAATCACCGGTTGCATGGGTATGGCGGTAAGATATTGCGGTGGCTCCAGGAACGTGGGCGCCACTAACTGGGGACTAGCAAGTGGGTAGGCGGGTTGAGGGAACTGGCATGCATTGTTGGCCATCAGCTGGGCAGGAGCAATCGGCAGAATGGGCACCATCTTGGGCGGACCTACGCCCTGCTGCAGTTGCTGGTGCAGCTGTTGGTGCTGCAGCTGCTGCTGATGTTGATGTTGCTGCTGCTGCTGGCTCTGCTGCTGGTGGTTATGATGCGACTGACTGTGATGGTGTTCACGGTGATGCGATCGCTGCCGTTGGCTTTGCTAAAGGAATAAGCGAAATGTAATATTTTTTGTATAAAAAAATAAAAACTTTACATCATATACCCACCGAACTGACGTGCGTCATCATGGACTGCCTGCTGGTAACAGAATCCGCCGAAATGGAAGTGGAATCGGACTCATTTCCCCGGCTGGTGTGGAAATAACACTTTCGCTTGGGCTTTGGGGAGATCCCCGTGGAACTGATATTGCCATAGCTCGAGGCAGGTCGTGATGTCTTCAGGGGATTCACTTGACAGGAGCCGGAAGCCTGAGCCGCTGATGCCGACCACATGGGCGACGAGTCTACGGTGGGTGATGTGGCCGTCGTCTCATTGCCCAGATTGGCCTGGCTGTTGCCCAGCAACGCACTGTCCAAGTTCTGGTTGCCCATCTCAAAGTCCCTGAGGGTTGTGGTGGCGGAGACGGATTTGCTGCTGTTAGCCGTGGAGGCCACAACCTTGCTGTTTCCATTGTTTTGACTGCTGCCGCTGCTGGACTTGGTACGCTCCTTTTGGCTGTCCTTGAGGACCTCCGCGTAGCTGACCACTTTGTGGGTGCAGACCACGTAGTCCGGCTTGGAGTTGAACTGGTGGTAGCTCACATAGTAGTCCGTCTGCAGCCAGATCCACTGCTGGCCTTTGGTTAGAAATCGGTAGTAGCAGGATTTTCCCTCGCCCGTTTGTCGCACTATATGTGGGGAATGTTGGAAGAATCAAATATTAGAGTTACAAGAAGTTTGCCAAATGAAAACAAGTGCTATTTCATGGTTTTATGGCTCATAAAAGGTGTTTAATCTCTTTTGGTTGCAAATTTTTAAGCATCTGTAGTGTGTTTAGGATTCCTAAATACTTATTTAACACTCTATATTATTGTAATCTTTAATAAACTTAATATTTTCCTGTTTAAACAACTTTCTCCAACCGCAGCCAACTTAATGCGCTTCTGGCAAGGTTGCCAGATCGTTTTTCTGACAATCACACAAATCATGGGCGTAGTAAAAGGGTTTAATTTAGATAATCAGCATTATTTTGTAAGCTAAACTGACTACAGAAGTGAAATAACCTTATTATGGCTTAATTTTTAGTAAACTAAACTAGCATTAAATGTCAAATAACTTTAAATCTCTTCCCCTTTTCTCTGATCCCTTCTCTCTACTCCTCTGTTCACAACTTTCCTCAACTGTACTTCAGCGCTGCCACCCTCTACTTCGCGTTAGGTTGGCAGCGCGAACAGCTAAGAAAACTCTAATTGCAATAAATTTTCACAACTTACGCTCTTCGTGGCACGCCACAATGCTGTCCAAATCGTCAAAGTGGTAGTAATCGTAACCCGAGGTGCCCAGCACCTCGAACGGCATATAGCCAATGATCGGCGGCGCGCGGTGATCGAGAAACAGGAACTTCCACTCCATGCTGTGCTTCGAGGTGAATTCGTTGCTCGTGGGATCAATGATGCTCATCTCGCGGATCAATTGGGGATTCTGCACGCGGCCGGTGCCCACAAAAACCAGCTTCTTGTCCACCTCGGCATTGGGATTCTGCTGGAAGATTCGTGGCAAGACAGCAGGCAGTCCGTTCCCGCCGCCGCCATTGGAGCCATCAGAACTAGAGCCCGCCGACATATTGGCATCGTTGCCTGTGTACACAGAGGAGGAGAACAAAGAACAAGCATGAGAGGAGTTGGCATTGAATGGCTGCTCGGCTACCTACGAAAGTAACCCACAAATTTGACCAGTTCGTAGGCATTGGCATCCACCTTCTCCATCCCCCCGCGCCGCAGGTGTGTATAGAAAGTGATCTGGTTGCTAGAACTGATGTCCGTCTGCCGGGGCTCAATCACAGGCGTGGGATTCATGAAGATGTTCAGCAGTGCCTCGTGGTCCATCTCGTAAGCCAGGTCATAGATGGTCATGTTGTACAGGTCGTGCTGAAAGGAAAGGTGAGTTTTTCATAAGTCTTAAAATATCTTTAAGAGATTTGAGAGAATTTATGTAGGAGTCTTGTGTAAGTTTAGTTCCAGCTGTAACGATTTATCTTCTTGACTTACCGGCAGATATCCCAGCTGAGAGGTAATACTTTCCGAGGCATAGAAGATGGAGCCCATGCTGCTAAAGACCATCATAAAGCCATCCAAGGACTCGAGCATTAGATGGGTGAATTCATCGTTGCTCAGAAACGTGGGCTTCCAGTCTTGTTGTATCTCGAAAACCTTGGAGCGGTCCGTGGCCTCTGTTTATTTAGGTAAATATTTAAGAATAATTCAAAATATAAGCAGTAATTGTTTAACCCACCATTATGGTTCTTCAGAAAGGCTATGGTGGACTTGAGGACCGTGGACTTGTCCATCTTTCTGCTAGAGGTCGATATTAAAGCGCTCAGATCGTTGACCAGTGAGTTGAACTGATCCCGCCGCTTCTTCTCGCTCAGATTGCGGGATTTTCTGCAAAGGAAACTACGAGTTAAACAATAATCAATCGGATGCATTTACGATTAGCAACATTTTACATTCACTACAAAGGTGAGTAGCTCATAATATTCAGTATTTGCAACCCCCTAAGGCGAGTCGTTTGTGACCCACGTGTGCCCGGCCCATTCAGGCATTGTCTGGCGTTGATTAGCCACATATGCCCATATGCTATCACCCGCCCTGATTTGTCCCGGGTCTCTCTAAAGGGGGCTGAGCTTGTGTGCCCTTTGTCGCTTTACATTTGCTGCGCTAGAGTTAACTTTTTCTGCTCTGCCATTGACATTTGCATGTCAGAAAAACTGGCTGATGATTGGAGGAGTATATGGATTAACGTTACTGTCAGTTGTTTTTGTGTGCGCTAGTTCATGGCCAGTTATGTATATGTAAGGGTTTAGAGGATATCTTGAGAGCTAATTGAAGGGCAATCTGTTGGGAAATAATTGACGTGGAGTTTAGCTGAATATCTGAAAATTTGCAACTGATTTGCCTTTTTTTTTTGACTAGATAACTCTTTATTTAACTTACGAAGCTTAAGATTTGTTTTCCTAAAGTCTATTTGTTATATTAAATATTTATTTGTTAGAAAATTGTATATTCAAGGAGTTATCGAGGAATTACTAAAACATTGAAAAGATACATCCCTTTGTATAACCGGAATCTGAAATTTTGCTTTCTTAAAAAGCCTGGAAAACCTTATTCTATAAGCTTGAAGTAAATATTTGATTTTTTGTATAGTTTAACGTTTTAACTTTATAAGAAATATTAAAAATTTTTTAAATTATATTATATTTATTTATAATTATGAACTTCTAGAAAATTCGTTTTAATTTCTTTGGTTTTCTGTGAAAATATTTAGTACAACCTCAAAAATTTCCAATCAATCCGAATTTTTTGATAGCAATTCCAAGTTTACTTTTGTTTAAATGGAAATTAAACGGAATTATTATTCCTATCCAGGCTATGTTAAAGGTTTAAAATTCAGTAAAAAGTAAGGAATAACTACAGTATTACCCAAAGAATTCATTTTCTATTCCTTTGCCTCCAATTACCTCAATCATAATACGTTATAAAATGTGGAAAACCCTTAGATGACTTTAAAGTAACATTCTTGTTGTAAATATTATGTTGTCACACCCAGACTAAGAATGTGTGAATGATCTCTAATCAAACGTAGATGACTCCCCTTTGAAATGAGAATTGTCCCACCTCTCTGGATACTTGATTTCTAATTTCTTATATTAATTGCCAACTGATATGCGCCAGACGCCTACGGGTATTGTGCAAACCCAAGTAATTGTAATTAATGCGTGTGCAAATTGAATCCGTACTCCGATTACAACTGATTGAAGTTGGCCGCAGGAGAAACGGATCAACGAATCGAGTTACTGAGACCCCATTGATTGATTCGTGGGGTGTGAATTACCAAAATGGTCTGGGGGCTACCCATCTGAGAGACTGTGACGACAGCAGAGCAGTGTCCTAGTCTTAGTCACAGTCATTCATGAGAAAAATAATAAACAAAGAATGGGGACATTCCACCTTCGAGCGGAAAATTTCACAAAATGCCATATACACGTATTCTCCTCTCCGATTCTGTTTCTTGTCAACTGTCAGTCGCAGACTGTCCACGGATTTGTGCTATCTATTTATGAATAGCCAAGGCCTTTAAGTGTATGGGTGCTTAATGTGTAGTGAACTTACCTTTTCGTATCGTCCTTGTCATCGCTTTCGTCGTCCATTTTCGTATCTGTCGGATAATCCACTTCAAATTGCACGAAATTTTTTCAAAAAAATCACCAAAAATGTTAAGAAAAACCGAAGAAAGTGCGAAACTTTCAACTTCTTTTGAAGACTCTTGCTCACACAACTTCCTAAAAAATTGATTTACACGCTCACATAGTTTTGTTCATATGTTTCTCTGGGTCTTTCGGTTAAAGTTCAGGTAATATTCACGCAACAATTGATTTCCATATGCTCAATATGCCACATTTTGAAGGCCTGCAAAGGGTTGGAAAACACAATTATTATTTTTTTTTATTTTATTTTATTCGGAGAATTTCTTTGTATTATTTTTCCCGACGCTTTTCTCGCAAAATCGTTGTCTCACGTCGCGTTCTGTCAGCAACAAGTGCAGTTGTGGTTCTGTTTCGGCTTTGCCTGCTGCCAGCTTCGAGCAGCATCCTTTGGAATCGGTTTCCTGCAGAGTCCCAGGCAGGGTTATGTAATCCCATAAGCTGCGCCTGCGCAGGCTCCACGAACGGAGGCCCCGTGGCCAATTTGCCAGTTGGTCGTGCCAATCAATGTTGCACATTTGCAACCCCTGAAATGTATGCTACGCTATTTTGTCATGTTACAAAATGCGTTCAGCGAATGCCATAACAACCAGTCGGTGGTTGGAGTGAGTTGGAGAGGGTGTGCTGGGCAGGATTGTGGTGTGGGTGGGGGTGGTTGAGTGGTTGAGTGGCCAGGAGAGCGAGTGGAGCAGCTGCTAACCAATTGCCTGGCTGCAGCCGGCCTTTGGCTGCTTTGTTAGGCTATAAATAAGCTTCCATGCACGGGCTTGCTCGCATATTACATAATTTCTGTGAGAATATTTGATTTTAATACTGCTCTGACTGCTGGTTTTCAGTCACATCTCCATCATCTACTGCTGCTTCGATTAATTTTCTTTCACACCCGCAAATTTTATTCCCTTTTAATTGACGGCGACAACATTTAAGGGGCTTCAGCGAAAAGCAATTTCTTGGCAAACAAAAACTTGAAAACTTTTGAGCAAATGTCAAAGGGGTTTGCAAGCCTGTTAAATGCATTTTTCCAAATGGTTTGAGGTGGAAAACTTTATGCCCAGAATCCGCAATGACGTTGGAATTGAACCCATTTTAAAGCCAAAGCCGGACGAATGTACGAAAAATCAGCGTTTAATTAAAATGTGCAAAGCAGCTTAAAATTACAGCAGCTTTTCATCTGCGTCGAGGGCATCTGTAATTAATCCGTTTAACTCCGTTTGACCAGAGAGAGTCTCATAATTTCCCACATGTAGGCAAGAGTATTTTAAATACACATCAAAGGTAAACATCCGCCCCGTTCCCTGGGCCAAGTGTTGCTGCTGCTGGTTAACCGTAAGTAGCTGTTGGTTGGCCCAAACCCAGCTCCCGAGACCGTTTGTTGGCTTGAAAAGTTGCCAGATAATTGCCAATGACTAGCTTAATGGCTCGTGTTGCAATTAGTGCGGTCGGTTTGGTCTGTCGCAGAGTGCAAAAAAAAAATAGCTTGGAAAAGGGTTCAAATAGAGACATATAGAGACGGTGTCAGGTGTTATTATTGAAGCGTTTAGTTTTACCCCAGAGAATGCGGACTAATTGCCATTTTGCCAACTCAATTACAAACTGTGAAATTATTGGGTCACAGACATTCAACTTTGGATCGAATAGAAGCTATTAAATACAAAGTTGATTCAGGAAAAACTACTCTATCACCTAAACAAATAATATTAAAGCCACTGTGAAATATGCAAAGTCAAGAGCTTGACGGGTTTAGGATCGTTTAATTTGCATTAACAAACCACCTTTCTAAAAAGAAGTCACTTAAGCATGAAATCATGGTTTAAGTCAATAGAATGTAATTAAACTAGTGATTCTTAAGTTATTAAACGGTTTGCTCTTGAGTAGGACAACAAATCATTGATATAAACTGTTTTGAAGTTTGTTTAGTGGTTGAAAGTCTAATTTTTGGAAAGGAGATTGTAACTGCTATTGAACAAGACTTGCAAATGGGTTTTAGTCTTTGTTTTATTAAATTCTATTAATTACAGTTGTATTAAATATAAATACATTGCACCTAAGAAACTTTACTAGTATTTTGTTATTTGCAATAAATTATATTTGCATTTAAGTAAAACTAATTAACCTTATTTTCATAGTTTAAAAATTATTAAATCGATTTTAATATAGATATTTTCTTTGTTTAGTTATTTAGCTTTTCATTTATATAACTAAACAACTTCCTAAAGGTTCCTAAAAATTATTATAAAGGCTTTTAAAATCGTCTTTCACTAACCTCAGTTGTTATTAGCCGCTTTTAATGTATTTTAATCTGAACTATTTAAGACAAATATTAGAGTTTCATTTAAATTAGATAAGTTTGTGAGAAATACTTTAAGTTAAAGTTATAAATATTAAAATAATAAAAGAATAAATTCTTTTTCTACCGAAATAAACCCATTTCTGTTTAGTCTTCCCCTCCCATGTAAGTCTAAGTAAACATTAAAGCTTCTAATACACACAACCCCTAATTTATTGCCGATAGCGCCCTCCCTCCCCTTAGAATCAAACAGATTAAACATTTGGCATTGACAACGACGTTTGTTGTTGTTCTTGGCTGTGAATTTATGGCATATATTTATAAGTATTTGCAATGCGGAAGCCAATAAGTTGGAAAAAAAACATGCATGTGAGCATATAAATAAATGAAAAGCACGGAAAGCCGGTTGGAGTGCACTGGACAGCAGAGCAATGGCAAGTTTACTCAACCCGGCCCGAAGATCGTTGACTGACCTACTCACGAGCACCGAGCGCGGAGAGATATAGTCACTATATCTATTGCCCTCTCACTTGCACTCTCTAACGTCTGATAGCTCGCTCTGGTGGGGGAACTAACGTCATTTGATTGCATTTGTAAAGCTTCGCTCAGTTACAAAAAACATTATCGCATACTGTGGATGTGTGGGTAAGTCATATATACATATACACACACTTGGATGCGTCTTCCTCTCTCTCCCTCTCTCTGTGTGTCTCTTGATTTCTTTGTCAGTGAACTTGAGCTTTTGCCAATGCTAATTGCATTGCGATTACAGCATAGTGTCTGTGTGTGAGTGATAATACCCAATACTCATACGACCCGTTGTACAGCTTTTTGTTTTTTTTTTTTCTTCTGGCTTTCCTCTTGGTTCCGCAAAGCTTGTAATATTTTTTGTCTCACTCCCTCTCATGTTGTTTTAAACTTGACTTAATTGAATTTTTCACTATTTTTTTGTTCACTTTTTTTTTGTTGTT